TCCTTCATAAATAAATAAATATATATATATAGCTGAGTGGTGTGTTGCGTCCCCAACCAAATCAGAGGTGTGTGTTTTGAATTGAGTATTTCATCCTTATACGTGTGTGAGAGATGTCTGCTATCTATCGCTGTTACCGACCTTCGCTCCGAACCCGGAACAGCCTGTAGAGTCAGTTCTCTGTTGGCTATTATAGGAGATCTTTCGGTGCGCTCCACGCATTCCTGTCATTTTCGGCGTGCTTGTCATTCAGGGCAGTTGAGGTGCGGTTGGTTGGTTAGAAACGGGTATGGAGGAGAGGGAGTGCAAGGTTTTCATTCAAATCACTTTCTCCTTTTTAAAAACGCAAGAAATACTCCAGTTTTGCCATTCACTAATCTAAACATGTTTATTAGAGTGAGGTGATGATAGTAATTCGTTGTCATGACATTTCCTTCTTTTGAAATCCATTTATAACTCTTGATCAACGTTTTTAATGTTTTGAACATTTATAAACCGTTTTAAACTCCGCTATAACAGGGTATTGGGAGCTGGTGGCAGCAGACAGTGCATTGATTAGGACTCCATCTGTGTGCTGAGAGGGAGCAAGCCCACCCACTCACAGAGAGAGGGAGCAGCCCACCCACTCACAGAGAGAGGGAGCAAGCCCACCCACTCACAGAGAGAGGGAGCAAGCCCACCCACTCACAGAGGGAGCAAGCCCACCCACTCACAGAGAGAGGGAGCAAGCCCACCCACTCACAGAGAGAGGGAGCAAGCCCACCCACTCACAGAGAGAGGGAGCAAGCCCACCCACTCACAGAGAGAGGGAGCAAGCCCACCCACCCACAGAGAGAGGGAGCAAGCCCACCCACTCACAGAGAGAGGGAGCAAGCCCACCCACTCACAGAGAGAGGGAGCAAGCCCACCCACTCACAGAGAGAGGGAGCAGCCCACCCACTCACAGAGGGAGCAGCCCACCCACCCACCCACAGAGGGAGCAGCCCACCCACCCACAGAGAGAGGGAGCAGCCCACCCACTCACAGAGGGAGCAGCCCACCCACCCACCCACAGAGGGAGCAGCCCACCCACCCACCCACAGAGGGAGGGAGCAAGCCCACCCACCCACAGAGAGAGGGAGCAAGCCCACCCACTCACAGAGAGAGGGAGCAGCCCACCCACTCACAGAGAGAGGGAGCAAGCCCACCCACTCACAGAGAGAGGGAGCAAGCCCACCCACTCACAGAGAGGGAGCAAGCCCACCCACTCACAGAGAGAGGGAGCAAGCCCACCCACTCACAGAGAGAGGGAGCAAGCCCACCCACTCACAGAGAGAGGGAGCAGCCCACCCACCCACAGAGAGAGGGAGCAGCCCACCCACCCACAGAGAGAGGGAGCAGCCCACCCACTCACAGAGAGAGGGAGCAGCCCACCCACTCACAGAGAGAGGGAGCAGCCCACCCACCCACCCACAGAGAGAGGGAGCAGCCCACCCACCCACAGAGAGAGGGAGCAGCCCACCCACTCACAGAGAGAGGGAGCAGCCCACCCACTCACAGAGAGAGGGAGCAGCCCACCCACCCACCCACAGAGGGAGCAGCCCACCCACCCACCCACAGAGGGAGCAGCCCACCCACCCACAGAGGGAGCAGCCCACCCACCCACAGAGGGAGCAGCCCACCCACCCACAGAGAGAGGGCGCAGCCCATCCACCCACAGAGAGAGGGAGCAGCCCACCCACCCACAGAGAGAGGGAGCAGCCCACCCACCCACTCACAGAGGGAGCAGCCCACCCACCCACTCACAGAGAGGGAGCAGCCCACCCACCCACTCACAGAGAGAGGGAGCAAGCCCACCCACTCACAGAGAGAGGGAGCAAGCCCACCCACTCACAGAGAGAGGGAGCAAGCCTACCCACTCACAGAGAGGGAGCAGCCCACCCACCCACAGAGGGAGCAGCCCACCCACCCACAGAGGGAGCAGCCCACCCACCCACAGAGGGAGCAGCCCACCCACCCACAGAGAGAGGGCGCAGCCCATCCACCCACAGAGAGAGGGAGCAGCCCACCCACCCACAGAGAGAGGGAGCAGCCCACCCACCCACAGAGAGAGGGAGCAGCCCACCCACCCACTCACAGAGAGGGAGCAGCCCACCCACCCACTCACAGAGAGAGGGAGCAAGCCCACCCACTCACAGAGAGAGGGAGCAAGCCCACCCACTCACAGAGAGAGGGAGCAAGCCTACCCACTCACAGAGAGGGAGCAGCCCACCCACTCACAGAGAGAGGGAGCAAGCCCACCCACTCACAGAGAGAGGGAGCAAGCCCACCCACTCACAGAGAGAGGGAGCAAGCCCACCCACTCACAGAGGGAGCAAGCCCACCCACTCACAGAGAGAGGGAGCAAGCCCACCCACTCACAGAGAGAGGGAGCAAGCCCACCCACTCACAGAGAGAGGGAGCAGCCCACCCACTCACAGAGAGAGGGAGCAGCCCACCCACCCACCCACAGAGGGAGCAGCCCACCCACCCACAGAGAGAGGGAGCAGCCCCACCCACTCACAGAGAGAGGGAGCAGCCCACCCACCCACAGAGGGAGCAGCCCCACCCACCCACAGAGGGAGCAGCCCACCCACCCACAGAGGGAGCAGCCCACCCACCCACAGAGGGAGCAGCCCACCCACCCACAGAGAGAGGGCGCAGCCCATCCACCCACAGAGAGAGGGAGCAGCCCACCCACCCACAGAGAGAGGGAGCAGCCCACCCACCCACAGAGAGAGGGAGCAGCCCACCCACCCACTCACAGAGAGGGAGCAGCCCACCCACCCACTCACAGAGAGAGGGAGCAAGCCCACCCACTCACAGAGAGAGGGAGCAAGCCCACCCACTCACAGAGAGGGAGCAGCCCACCCACTCACAGAGAGAGGGAGCAAGCCCACCCACTCACAGAGAGGGAGCAAGCCCACCCACTCACAGAGAGAGGGAGCAAGCCCACCCACTCACAGAGAGAGGGAGCAAGCCCACCCACTCACAGAGAGAGGGAGCAAGCCCACCCACTCACAGAGAGAGGGAGCAAGCCCACCCACTCACAGAGAGAGGGAGCAAGCCCACCCACTCACAGAGAGAGGGAGCAAGCCCACCCACTCACAGAGAGAGGGAGCAAGCCCACCCACTCACAGAGAGAGGGAGCAAGCCCACCCACTCACAGAGAGAGGGAGCAAGCCCACCCACTCACAGAGAGGGAGCAGCCCACCCACTCACAGAGAGAGGGAGCAAGCCCACCCACTCACAGAGAGAGGGAGCAAGCCCACCCACTCACAGAGGGAGCAAGCCCACCCACTCACAGAGGGAGCAAGCCCACCCACTCACAGAGAGAGGGAGCAAGCCCACCCACTCACAGAGAGAGGGAGCAGCCCACCCACTCACAGAGAGAGGGAGCAGCCCACCCACCCACCCACAGAGGGAGCAGCCCACCCACCCACAGAGAGAGGGAGCAGCCCACCCACCCACAGAGAGAGGGAGCAGCCCACCCACCCACCCACAGAGGGAGCAGCCCACCCACCCACAGAGGGAGCAGCCCACCCACCCACAGAGGGAGCAGCCCACCCACCCACAGAGGGAGCAGCCCACCCACCCACAGAGGGAGCAGCCCACCCACCCACAGAGGGAGCAGCCCACCCACCCACAGAGGGAGCAGCCCATCCACCCACAGAGAGAGGGCGCAGCCCATCCACCCACAGAGAGAGGGAGCAGCCCACCCACCCACAGAGAGAGGGAGCAGCCCACCCACCCACAGAGAGAGGGAGCAGCCCACCCACCCACTCACAGAGAGGGAGCAGCCCACCCACCCACTCACAGAGAGAGGGAGCAAGCCCACCCACTCACAGAGAGAGGGAGCAAGCCCACCCACTCACAGAGAGGGAGCAGCCCACCCACTCACAGAGAGAGGGAGCAAGCCCACCCACTCACAGAGAGAGGGAGCAAGCCCACCCACTCACAGAGAGAGGGAGCAAGCCCACCCACTCACAGAGGGAGCAAGCCCACCCACTCACAGAGGGGAGCAAGCCCACCCACTCACAGAGAGAGGGAGCAAGCCCACCCACTCACAGAGAGAGGGAGCAAGCCCACCCACTCACAGAGAGAGGGAGCAAGCCCACCCACTCACAGAGAGAGGGAGCAAGCCCCACCCACTCACAGAGAGAGGGAGCAAGCCCACCCACTCACAGAGAGAGGGAGCAAGCCCACCCACTCACAGAGAGAGGGAGCAAGCCCACCCACTCACAGAGAGAGGGAGCAAGCCCACCCACTCACAGAGAGAGGGAGCAAGCCCACCCACTCACAGAGAGAGGGAGCAAGCCCACCCACTCACAGAGAGAGGGAGCAAGCCCACCCACTCACAGAGAGAGGGAGCAAGCCCACCCACTCACAGAGAGAGGGAGCAAGCCCACCCACTCACAGAGAGAGGGAGCAAGCCCACCCACTCACAGAGAGAGGGAGCAAGCCCACCCACTCACAGAGAGAGGGAGCAAGCCCACCCACCCACAGAGAGAGGGAGCAAGCCCACCCACTCACAGAGAGAGGGAGCAGCCCACCCACTCACAGAGAGAGGGAGCAAGCCCACCCACTCACAGAGAGAGGGAGCAAGCCCACCCACTCACAGAGAGAGGGAGCAAGCCCACCCCACTCACAGAGAGGGAGCAAGCCCACCCACTCACAGAGGGAGCAGCCCACCCACTCACAGAGAGAGCAGCCCACCCCATTAAGTGTAACTTCAACATCAGAGCCAGGTGGTTGGTTGGTTTAGGGGCTATTGGAAACACACAACTCTACATGGTTGGTTTAGGGGCTATTGGAAACACACAACTCTACATGGTTGGTTTAGGGGCTATTGGAAACACACAACTCTACATGGTTGGTTTAGGGGCTATTGGAAACACACAACTCTACATGGTTGGTTTAGGGGCTATTGGAAACACAACTCTACATGGTTGGTTTAGGGGCTATTGGAAACACAACTCTACATGGTTGGGTTAGAGCAGTCCTTCTCAAAGAGTGGGGCGCGCCCCCCTGGTGGGGCTCGGAGCAATGCCAGGGGGGGGCGCGAACAAGAGCACACAGAGCAGGAGATATGAAGTGCAGATAACAAACCCTTAAGAGACACCATGGAAACATATTCAACTGGGATGAAAAGAAAGGCGGAGAGAGACGGAGATAATGAGACAAACGTACGTCTCCCGAAAGCGAAGACGAGGAAATATGACAAAGCGTATGTAGCGCTTGGCTTCACTGTGACTACGGTGGGAGACAAGGAAAGACCGGTGTGTTTACTGTGTCTAAAAACGTTGGCAGCGGACAGCACGAAGCCAAATAAATGAAGGCGTCACTTAAAATACATTACAGCCCAATCACACTGATGAAGCCGCTTGAGTTTTTTCAGCGAAAACGTGCCGGATATTGGCAACAATCGTCCCGCTTTGTGAATGCTACTTCAGTAAACCAGCGAGCACTGTTAGCATCATATAAGGTGGCGTACCAAATTGCTCAGTGCAAAAAACCCCACTCCATAGCAGAGGAGCTGATACTGCCTGCAACATTAGACATGGTCTCTGTCATGCTGGATGACGCAAGTGCTGCAAAAATTAAGACTATCCCTCTGTCCAATGACACCGTCGCCAGACGTGTATAAATGACATTGCTAACGATCTTAAAAGATCAGCTGGTAGATAAACTCAAAAGACAAACGTTTTGCCTTACGGTTCGATGAAGCAACTGACAGCAACAAAGACTGTTTGTTTTGTTTATCGCTTATGTACGTTTTGACATGACAAACTCCCCGTGTGAGGATCTACTTTTTTTGTAAATATGTCAGAGACAGAGCCACAGCTGAAGAGCTATTCAAAATGCTGGACTGCTTCCTGACTGAGAATGGGCTAAAGTGGGGAGAACTGCATTGGTGTTTGCAGTGATGGTGCACAGACCATGGCAGGGATGAGAAAAGGACTTGGGGCACTCATCAAGAAGGCCTCACCTAATGCTGAGTGGACACACCGTGTTATACACAGAGAAGCACTGGCATCAAGGCACCTTTCCTCTGAATTAAGTGAGGTTATGACTGACGTTGTAGGTGTAGTCAATTTTTATAAAGACCAGACCACTAAAAACAAGAGTCTTCTCTGCTATCTGTGAGGAGATGGGAGCTGAACATCAAGCTGTGCTGTTTCACAGTGAAGCAAGGTGGCTGTCACGAGGAAAAGTCTTGTCCCGAGTTTTTGAGCTCAGAGAGCAGATAATAATGTTTTGGGAGCAGGAGCACAAGTATGACCTCGCAGAAAAATGTAGTGATGAGAACTTCCTGGCAAAACTGGCCTACCTGAGTGACATATTTGGAAAAGCTAAATGAACTAAATCTACAGCTTCAAGGGAAAGATAAACACCTCCCTCAGGTCACAGACAAAGATCAGCTCTTTCACTCGAAAGCTTGCAATGTGGGGCAGGCGACTTGATGAAGGAAATACTGATTCATTCGAGAACCTGCATGAGTTTGTTGACACTACTGACTCTGATGCCACCTCAGTGATTCCATATATTAAGGAGCGTATTTCATCACTGATGGGATTCTTTTAAAAAGTACTTCCCTGAAAACAGTTCCCAATATGACTGGGTGAGAGATCCTTTCAATGCACCAGCTCCAACTGGTTTCAGCTCTACAGAGGAGGACCAGTTAATTGATATGACGTCTGACTCCACATTGAGACTGAGGTTCACATCACAGACACTGAGTGAATTCTGGCTGAGTGTAGAGAGGCAGTATCCACTCTTAGGGCAGAGGGCCATGGGCATTCTTCTTCCTTTTGCAACATCTTATCTTTGTGAGACTGGCTTCTCTGCTGTTGCTGCACTGAAGACCAAGTACAGGTCCCAGCTAAACATTGAGCAGGAGCTGAGAGTGGCAGTATCATGCTTCAAACCCCGCTTCGAAAAGCTGTGCACTGCAAAACGTGCTCATTGTAGCCATTAATCCAGACTTCCTCATTTTGATTTTTTTTTAAAAATCAGCACATTGTTTTATTCATTTTTGTTTTATAGGTCAGTGTTTCATATATTGTGCTCCTGAGTTCATGTTGCTGATCAATTTGAATGTATTATTATTTATTGATTATATTTTATTTTATTTTTCAGTATCAAATGGTCAAAAAATGTTTACAGTTTAAATAAGGATTGAATTATTTTTTTAATTTCAGGCAAATTGATTAACTTTAAGACTTTTCTGTTACAGACTAAAAAACAATGTTAATAAAGTTATTCTTTGTTGTAAGTTGATCTATATTTCTTTTTTTTTCTTTTTTTTTCTTTAATGTTAATAATGATACAATGTTATGCAGAGGTGTACTTATAACAATTTTATAGACAAATGATACTATTTACAGTCGCAGCGGAGAGTTGGGGGGCGCGAAATGTTTACTTCTTCCTAGGGGGGGCGTAACAGAAAATAATTGAGAAGCACTGGGTTAGTGTGGGTGGAAAGTTTAAGCCTTTATGCTGGAGGTGACGGGTAGGCTATGTGTGTGCTAGTTTGACTTTCTGTTTGTACTGTAAATATACACAAGTGGCTTAACTTTTCTCCATTCCTCTCTCTCTGTCTCTGTCTCTCTCTCTCTCTGTCTCTCTCTCTCTCTCTCTCTCTCTCTCTCTTCTCTCTCCGCTCTCTCTCTCTCCTCTCTCTCTCTCTCTCTCTCTCTCTCTCTCTCTCTCTCTCTCTCTCTCTCTCTCTCTCTCTCTCTCTCTTCTGTCTCTGTCTCTGTCTTGTCTCTGTCTCTGTCTCTGTCTCTGTCTCTGTCTCTCTCTCTCTCTCTCTGTGTCTCTCTCTCTGTGTCTCTCTCTCTGTGTCTCTCTCTCTGTGTCTCTCTCTCTGTGTCTCTCTCTGTGTCTCTCTCTGTGTCTCTCTCTGTGTCTCTCTCTCTGTGTCTCTCTCTCTGTGTCTCTCTCTCTCTCTCTCTCTCTCTCTCTCTCTCTCTCTCTCTCTGTCTCTGTCTCTCTCTTCTCTCTCTCTCTCTCTCTCTCTCTCTGTCTCTGTCTCTGTCTCTGTCTCTGTCTCTGTCTCTGTCTCTGTCTCTGTCTCTGTCTCTGTCTCTGTCTCTGTCTCTCTCGCTCTCTCGCTCTCTCGCTCTCTCGCTCTCTCGCTCTCTCGCTCTCTCGCTCTCTCGCGCTCTCGCGCTCTCTCTCTCTCTCGCTCTCGCGCTCTCTCTCTCTCTCGCTCTCGCGCTCTCTCTCTCTCTCTCTGTGTCTCTCTCTCTCTCTCTCTGTGTCTCTCTCTCTCTCTGTGTCTCTCTCGCTCTCTCTCTCTCTCTCTGTGTGTCTCTGTCTCTCCCTCTCTCTCTCTCTCTCTTTGTCTCTCTCTCTGTCGCCATTCCTCCATCTTTCTATCTATCCACCATCTCTCTGTCAATCCCAAATCTCTCGATCTATTAGATAAAGAGGAAGTTGGACCATGGACCAGACGTCAGGCCGTTCCCTTCAGGCAAGAAACACTGCAAAGGATCCGACTACCTCAGGTAACACACACACGCTACCTCAGGTAACACCACACACACACACGCTACCTCAGGTAACACACACACACACACGCTACCTCAGGTAACACACACACACACACTACCTCAGGTAACACACACACACACGCTACCTCAGGTAACACACACACACACGCTACCTCAGGTAACACACACACATACCTCAGGTAACACACACACACACACACTACCTCAGGTAACACACACACACACACTACCTCAGGTAACACACACACACTACCTCAGGGTAAACAACACACAATACTCAGGTAAAACACACCCCACACGTACCTCAGGAACACACACACACACACTACATAGGTAAAAAACACACACACGCTACCTCAGGTAACAACCACACACACACTCAGGAACACACACACACACATTACTCAGGTAAACACACACACAACGCTACCTCAGGTAACACAACACACACACAATACCTCAGGTAACACACACACCACAAAGACCAGGTAACAAAAAAACACACAATACCTCAGGGAACAAACACACACAACACAATACCTCAGGTAACACACACACAACACACACACGCACCTCAGGTAAACACACACACACAACGTACCCAGGTAACACACACACACAACTACCTCAGGTAACACACACACACACACTACCTCAGGTAACACACACACACAAACTACCAAGGTAATCACACAACCACACTACCTCAAGGTAAACAAAACACACACTACTAGGTAACACACAAACACATACCTCAGGTAACACACACACACACACACTACCTCAGGTAAACACACACACACACACACAACACACTACCTCAGGTAACACACACACACACACACTACCTCTGGTAAAACCACACAACACTACCTCTGGTAACACACACACACACATACCTCTGGTAAACACAACACACACACACTACCTCTGGTAACCACACACACACAACACTACCTAGGGGAACACACACACACAACACACTACTCAGGTACAACACACACACAACTACCTCTGGTAACACACACACACACACACTACCTCAGGTAAAACACACCCCAAACAAAAAACACACACTACCTCAGGTAACACACAAAACAACTACATCAGGTAACACACAACACTACCTCAGGTAAACACACACACACACTACCTCAGGTAAACACACACAACCACAACCACACACTACCTCAGGTAAACAACACACACACACAACACACCTACACAGGTAACAAACAAACAACAATACTAGGTAAACACACACACACACTAACCTCAGGTAACACAACACACACACTGCCTCAGGTAAACACACACACACACAACCCAGGGTAACACAAAACAACACACACCATCAGGTAACACAAACAACCACCCCAAAACACAACATACCTCAGGTAACACACACAACACACTACCTCAGGGTAACAAAACACACAACACACTACCTCAGGTAACAACACAAACACACACACACTACCTCAGGTAACACACACACACACACTACCTCAGGTAACACACACACACACCCAGTAACACACACACACACTACCTCAGGTAAAAACACACAAAACACTACCTCAGGTAACACACACACACACAACACTACCTCAGGTAAACAACACACACACAACTACCTCAGGGGAACACACACACACACTACTCAGGAAACACAACACTACTCAGGTAAAAAACAAACACACACTACCTAGGTAACAACACCACAACACGCTACTCAGGTAACACAACACAACACGTAATCAGGTAACACAAAACCCCAAAAGTACCTCAGGTAACACACACACACACGCTACCTCAGGTAACACACACACACACGCTACCTCAGGTAACACACACACACACGCTACCTCAGGGGAACACACACAAACACACAACTACGCAGGTAACACACAACCACACGCTACCTCAGGTAACACACACACACACTACCTCAGGTAACAACACAACACACACTACCTCAGGTAAACACACACACACAACACTACCTCAGGTAACAACAAACACACACCACATACCTCAGGTAAACACACACAACACAACACACGCTACCTCAGGTAACACACACACACACACCTCAGGTAACACACAACACGCTACCTCAGGGTAACACACACACACACAACCAGGTAAAAACACAACAACTACCTCAGGGTAACACACACACACATACTAAGGTAACAAAACACAACACACCTCAGGTAACACCAACACCACTACCTCAGGTAACACACACCACACACACACTACCTCAGGTAACACACACACACACACACACTCAGGTAAACACACACACCACACTACCTATGGTAACACACACACACATACCTCGGTAACAACAAACACTACCTCAGTGGTAAAACACACACACACACACTACCTCATGGTAAACACACACACACACACTACCTCAGGTAAAAACACACACACACAACACTACCTGGAACACACACACACTACCTCAGGTAACACACACACACACACCCTCAGGTAACACACACACACACACTACCTCTGGTAACACACACACACACACTACCTCAGGTAACACAACACCACCACACACACACCACACTACCTCAGGTAACACACACACACTACCTCAGGTAACCACCAAACACCAATCAAACACAAAACACTACTCAGGTAACACCCCACACAACACTACCTCAGGTAACAACACACACACACTACCTCAGGTAAACACCAAACACACTACTAGGAACACAAAACACACAACCACTACCAGGTAAACACAACAACACACTACCTCAGGTAACACACAACCACCCAACCGTGGTAACACAACAAACCAAACACAAACCACACTACTCAGGTAACACACACACACATACCTAGGTAAAACACACACACACTACCTCAGGTAACACACACAAAACAACTATCAGGTAACACAACACACCAAACTACCTCAGGTAACACACACACACACACACACTCAGGAACACACACACACACACTACCTCAGGAACAACACACACACACTACCTCAGGTAACACACAAACACAAACACTACCTACATAGGTAACACACACAAACACACACTACCTCAGGTAACACACACACACACACACTACCTCAGGTAACACACACACACACACACTACCTCAGGTAACAACACACACACACACACACTACCTCAGGTAACACACACACACACACACTACCTCAGGTAACACACACACACACACACTACAGGTTAACACACACACACAAACATACCTCAGGTAAAACACACAACACACACACACACTACCATCAGGTAAACACACAACACACACACACTACCTCAGGTAACAAACACACACACACACTACCTCAGGTAAACACACACACACACAACACTACCTCAGGTAACACAACACACACACACACTACTAGGAACACACACACACACAACACTACCAGGTAACACACACAACAACACAAAACACAACCAATAGGTAGGGTAAACACACACACACACACTACCAGGTAACACACACACACACACACTACTCAGGTAAACACACAACACACACTACCTCAGGTAACACACACACACACAACATACCTCAGGTAACACACACACACGCTACCTCAGGTAACACACACACACTACCTCAGGTAACACACACACACACGCTACCTCAGGTAACACACACACACACACACACGCTACCTCAGGTAACAATTTTTTATTTTGCCATCTATAGGGCACAGCTGGCCATTTTTTTAAATCCTTAAATTAAACTTTTATATTTGTTTATTCATCATCATTCTCTAGAACCAATTTTGGTCTTTAATGCCGACAGACAAGTTCCTTACTTTCTCCCCCTTCCACTTTCCTCTTCCATTTTTGTGGTAATGCTGCAATTAGTTGGTTGTAATTTTGAGTAGAGCAGACATTTCCATATATTTTTTTATGACAACTCCACCAGTCCTATTTATGTTATCATTTACAAAGATTATACCGTTTTATAGTTTTTTTCTCCAAAAAAATAATGTTTATTATCAATTTGTAGAGTTTAACCATTATTAATATTTGTTTTGTCTTTTCTGGTGGATTAAATTGAAATTGCAACCAACTTTCTATGGATTGTTTTAAAAAAAATAGCTATATTTTTGAGATTTCAATAATATACAAGTGAAGGGTTGTATTCTGAATAAAGGGAAAAAGGCCATTCTTGAACATGGGGTGAGACATTCTTACTAATCTGCTAGAGAACCAGTTTGGATTTAAGTATACATTGGCCCGTTTAATTTTGTCTGACTTGCAGTTCCAAATAAAGTGGAATGTCTTTTGCTCATATAATTTACCATTTTATTGGTAAACTACACGGTAATGTAGAAGTTGTAATTTTTAGTGATCCAATATGTAATATAGTACAGTTATCATCATTTGGTTGTAATCTAGAAAAAGTATCTAGATCCTCTATGAGGCTGTGGAGGGATCCAATCTGTGGATTTAAAAGAAAACATGAATCATCAGCGCACAACGACACCTTTTGTTTTTAAGCCCTGGATTTCTAATCCTCTGATATTATTGTTGGATCTGATTTAAATAGCTAACATTTTGATGACCATAATAAATAGATATGCCAATAGTGGACAACCTTGTTTCACTCCTCTTGACAGTTTAAAACTTTCTGAGAAGTAGCTATTATTTACTATTTTACACATAGGGTTACTATATATAACTTTAACCCATTGTATAAGAGATTCTCCAAAATTGAAATATTCCATGCATTTATAAATCAATTCCAGTCGTACTTTATCAAAAGCCTTTTTTGAAAGTCTGCTATGAATAGCAGGCCTGGTTTCCCAGATTTTTCATAGTGTTCTATTGTTTCCAGTACTTGCCTTATATTATCTCCAATGTATCGTCCATGTAAATAACCTGTCTGATTAGAATTAATAATATTTAATCTTCCTTTTTAATTCTAAGACTCAACCTCTCTTTCTCATGTTCTCTCTCTCTCTCTCTCTCCAGTCCCTCCAGTCTCGTTCCATTCCAGACCACGCCCACTACCTTTGGGGACCTGCGAGCAGCCAATGGGCATTCAGCTCAGCGGAGACGTGTCACCTCAGGCCCGCCCCCATCCGGCCTACAGGACTGGCTGCACACCTTCCAGGTGAGAGAGAGAGAGAGAGACACCGCCCCTCTCTCATGAACTGAATAGCGTTGGTTTACCTAACTGAATAGCGTTGGTTTACCTAACTGAATAGCGTTGGTTTACCTAACTGAATAGCGTTGGTTTACCTAACTGAATAGCGTTGGTTTAACCTAACTGAATAGCGTTGGTTTAACCTAACTGAATAGCGTTGGTTTACCTAACTGAATAGCGTTGGTTTACCTAACTGAATAGCGTTGGTTTATCTAACTGAATAGCGTTGGTTTACCTAACTGAATAGCGTTGGTTTACCTAACTGAATAGCGTTGGTTTACCTAACTGAATAGCGTTGGTTTACCTAACTGAATAGCGTTGGTTTACCTAACTGAATAGCGTTGGTTTACCTAACTGAATAGCGTTGGTTTACCTAACTGAATAGCGTTGGTTTACCTAACTGAATAGCGTTGGTTACCTAACTGAATAGCGTTGGTTTAACCTAACTGAATAGCGTTGGTTTAACCTAACTGAATAGCGTTGGTTTACCTAACTGAATAGCGTTGGTTTACCTAACTGAATAGCGTTGGTTTACCTAACTGAATAGCGTTGGTTTACCTAACTGAATAGCGTTGGTTTACCTAACTGAATAGCGTTGGTTTACCTAACTGAATAGCGTTGGTTTACCTAACTGAATAGCGTTGGTTTACCTAACTGAATAGCGTTGGTTTAACCTAACTGAATAGCGTTGGTTTAACCTAACTGAATAGCGTTGGTTTAACCTAACTGAATAGCGTTGGTTTACCTAAACTGAATAGCGTTGGTTTACCTAACTGAATAGCGTTGGTTTACCTAACTGAATAGCGTTGGTTTACCTAACTGAATAGCGTTGGTTTACCTAACTGAATAGCGTTGGTTTACCTAACTGAATAGCGTTGGTTTACCTAACTGAATAGCGTTGGTTTAACCTAACTGAATAGCGTTGGTTTACCTAACTGAATAGCGTTGGTTTAACCTAACTGAATAGCGTTGGTTTAACCTAACTGAATAGCGTTGGTTTACCTAACTGATAGCGTTGGTTTACCTAACTGAATAGCGTTGGTTTACCTAACTGAATAGCGTTGGTTTCCCTAACTGAATAGCGTTGGTTTTACCTAACTGAATAGCGTTGGTTTCCCTAACTGAATAGCGTTGGTTTCCCTAACTGAATAGCGTTGGTTTACCTAACTGAATAGCGTTGGTTTCCCTAACTAGCGTTGGTTTAACCTAACTGAATAGCGTGGTTTAACCTAACTGAATAGCGTTGGTTTAACCTAACTGAATAGCGTTGGTTTAACCTAACTGAATAGCGTTGGTTTACCTAACTGAATAGCGTTGGTTTACCTAACTGAATAGCGTTGGTTTACCTAACTGAATAGCGTTGGTTTACCTAACTGAATAGCGTTGGTTTACCTAACTGAATAGCGTTGGTTTCCCTAACTGAATAGCGTTGGTTTCCCTAACTGAATAGCGTTGGTTTCCCTAACTGAATAGCGTTGGTTTCCCTAACTGAATAGCGTTGGTTTACCTAACTGAATAGCGTTGGTTTACCTAACTGAATAGCGTTGGTTTAACCTAACTGAATAGCGTTGGTTTAACCTAACTGAATAGCGTTGGTTTACCTAACTGAATAGCGTTGGTTTACCTAACTGAATAGCGTTGGTTTACCCTAACTGAATAGCGTTGGTTTACCCTAACTGAATAGCGTTGGTTTACCCTAACTGAATAGCGTTGGTTTACCCTAACTGAATAGCGTTGGTTTACCCTAACTGAATAGCGTTGGTTTACCCTAACTGAATAGCGTTGGTTTACCCTAACTGAATAGCGTTGGTTTACCCTAACTGAATAGCGTTGGTTTACCCTAACTGAATAGCGTTGGTTTACCCTAACTGAATAGCGTTGGTTTACCCTAACTGAATAGCGTTGGTTTACCCTAACTGAATAGCGTTGGTTTACCCTAACTGAATAGCGTTGGTTTACCCTAACTGAATAGCGTTGGTTTACCCTAACTGAATAGCGTTGGTTTAACCTAACTGAATAGCGTTGGTTTACCTAACTGAATAGCGTTGGTTTAACCTAACTGAATAGCGTTGGTTTAACCTAACTGAATAGCGTTGGTTTAACCTAACTGAATAGCGTTGGTTTAACCTAACTGAATAGCGTTGGTTTACCTAACTGAATAGCGTTGGTTTACCTAACTGAATAGCGTTGGTTTAACCTAACTGAATAGCGTTGGTTTACCTAACTGAATAGCGTTGGTTTACCCTAACTGAATAGCGTTGGTTTACCCTAACTGAATAGCGTTGGTTTCCCTAACTGAATAGCGTTGGTTTACCTTTTCTGTCTCTGGCTGCTGCGTCTCCCTAACAACCACTAACTACAGCCAATGAAGCCCTGGGAGTAGAACAAACCTCAGCTAATTACGTAATTAAACATGTCTCCTCCCTCCATCCCCTCCTCTGTTCATTTTCCTCGTCCAGAAAGCAGGATCAGTTTTCTGGTGAACAGCCCAAGGGTTCTGTCCACTCTCTGTGGTTCTGTAGTATTAAGGAATGGAGAACAGACTGGAATGAAGGAATGAATGTTTATCCTTCTGATTCCCAGTGTTCTGTCTTCCCCACATACCCATAACAGTGGAACTTCTTTAATATTCACACACATCCCCTGGATTGGTCTGACATCACACCAGGAAGAGAACATATGTCAGAAAGGATCTTCCTCAGTAAAGACGAGCACTCTGAAAACACAAGTGGTTCAATGTTTCACTTCTGTTTTTAAAATCCAAACAACAATCTCTCTCTCTTTTAGCGGGTATAGTCATCTCTCTCTCTCTTAGCGGGTATAGTCATCTCTCTCTCTTTCTCTCTCTCTTAGCGGGTATAGTCATCTCTCTCTCTTAGCGGGTATAGTCATCTCTCTCTCTCTTAGCGGGTATAGTCATCTCTCTCTCTTTCTCTCTCTCTTAGCGGGTATAGTCATCTCTCTCTCTTAGCGGGTATAGTCATCTCTCTCTCTCTCTTAGCGGGTATAGTCATCTCTCTCTCTCTCTTAGCGGGTATAGTCATCTCTCTCTCTCTCTCTCAGCGGGTATAGTCATCTCTCTCTCTCTCTCTCTCTCTCTTAGCGGGTATAGTCATCTCTCTCTCTTTCTCTCTCTCTTAGCGGGTATAGTCATCTCTCTCTCTTAGCGGGTATAGTCATCTCTCTCTCTCTCTCTTAACGGGTATAGTCATCTCTCTCTCTCTCTTAGCGGGTATAGTCATCTCTCTCTCTCAGCGGGTATAGTCATCTCTCTCTCTCTCTCTCTCTCTCTCTCTCTCTCTCTCTCTCTCTCTCTCTCTTAGCGGGTATAGTCATCTCTCTCTCTCTCTCTCTCTTAGCGGGTATAGTCATCTCTCTCTCTCTTAGCGGGTATAGTCATCTATCTCTCTCTTAGCGGGTATAGTCATCTCTCTCTCTCTCTTAGCGGGTATAGTCATCTCTCTCTCTCTCTCTTAGCGGGTATAGTCATCTCTCTCTCTCTCAGCGGGTATAGTCATCTCTCTCTCTCAGCGGGTATAGTCATCTATCTCTCTCTCTCTTTTAGCGTGTATTGTCATCTCTCTTAGCGGGTATAGTCATTTCTCTATCTTAGCGGGTATAGTCATCTCTCTCTCTCTCTCTCTTAGCGGGTATAGTCATCTATCTCTCTCTCTTTTAGCGGGTATAGTCATCTATCTCTCTTAGCGGGTATAGTCATCTCTCTCTCTCTCTTAGCGGGTATAGTCATCTATCTCTCTCTCTCTTAGCGGGTATAGTCATCTCTCTCTCTCTCTCTTAGCGGGTATAGTCATCTCTCTCTCTCTCAGCGGGTATAGTCATCTCTCTCTCTCAGCGGGTATAGTCATCTATCTCTCTCTCTCTTTTAGCGTGTATTGTCATCTCTCTTAGCGGGTATAGTCATTTCTCTATCTTAGCGGGTATAGTCATCTCTCTCTCTCTCTCTCTTAGCGGGTATAGTCATCTATCTCTCTCTCTTTTAGCGGGTATAGTCATCTATCTCTCTTAGCGGGTATAGTCATCTCTCTCTCTCTCTTAGCGGGTATAGTCATCTATCTCTCTTAGCGGGTATAGTCATCTCTCTCTCTCTCTCTCTTAGCGGGTATAGTCATCTATCTCTCTTAGCGGGTATAGTCATCTCTCGCTCTCTTAGCGGGTATAGTCATCTCTCTCTCTTTTAGCGGGTATAGTCATCTCTCTCTCTCTCTTTTAGCGGGTATAGTCATCTCTCTCTTTTAGCAGGTATAGTCATCTCTCTCTCTCGCTCTCTTAGCGGGTATAGTCATCTCTATCTCTCTCTCTTAGCGGGTATAGTCATCTCTCTCTTTCTCTCTTTTAGCGGGTATAGTCATCTCTCTCTCTCTCTTTTAGCGGGTATAGTCATCTCTCTCTCTCTCTTAGCGGGTATAGTCATCTCTCTCTCTTTTAGTGGATATAGTTGTCTGTCTGTCTGTCTGTCTGTGGTATAGTAATTGGTACACGCGAAGACCTGTAGGAGTCTGTCTGTCGGGTGGGTGAGAGAGACTAGAACCCTGTGGGTGGAGTCTGTCTGTCGGGTGGGTGAGAGACTAGAACCCCCGTGGGTGGAGTCTGTCTGTCGGGTGGGTGAGAGAGACTAGAACCCCCGTGGGTGTTGTTATACAACACTAACACGAGCCAGAGCTGGTTTTGGATCAAATCTGTATCGCTCTCCCCCCCCCCATCCCCCCCCCCCATCCCCCCCCCCTCCCCCTTCCTGTAGGCGTGGAGTGGTCCTGAGCGTCTATTGGCTCTGGATGACTTGATTGACAGCTGTGAGTCCAATCAGGTGAAGCACATGATGCAGGTTATTGAGCCTCAGTTCCAACGAGACTTCATCTCCCTGCTGCCCAAAGAGGTGAGAGGACACTCACACAGGACGGACACACACACACACACACACACACACACACACACACACACACACACACACACACACACACACACACACACACACAGGACGGACTCACACACGCTCACACACACACACACACACACACACACACACACACACACACACACACAGGACGGTACACATACGATCATGCACACCCACATTCAGAACATACATCTGCCACTTGAGCCCAGTTCAAATCCATTATCATTATCAAATCTCAGGCGCCACTGTCCTCTGACATATAGATGTGATTCTGAGTTGTTAAGTGGTGATCAGGTGACCGGTCAGTGATATTCATGTGTTCCTCTCCTGTAGTTGGCCTTGTATGTCCTGACGTTTCTGGAGCCCAGAGATCTGATGCATGCTGCCCAGACCTGCTCCTACTGGAGGATACTGGCCGAGGATAACCTGCTGTGGAGGGAGAAGTGTAGGGAGCAGGGTACGTACCACACACACACACACACACACACACACAGGCAGGCAGGAGGATACAACAACGCCATATGTAGCTTACACACACCTATAGACACACAGAGAGGACATATATAGAGGACACATATATAGAGGACACACACAGAGGACACATATAGAGGACACACACAGAGGACACATATATAGAGGGGACACACAGAGGACACATATATAGAGGGGACACACGGAGGACACATATAGAGGACACACGGAGGACACATATAGAGGGGACACACAGAGGACACATATATAGAGGGGACACACAGAGGACACATATATAGAGGGGACACATATAGAGGGGACACACGGAGGACATATATAGAGGACACACATATAGAGGACACATATAGAGGGGACACACAGAGGACACATATAGAGGGGACACACAGAGGACACATATATAGAGGGGACACACAGAGGACACATATATAGAGGGGACACATATAGAGGGGACACACGGAGGACATATATAGAGGACACACATATAGAGGACACACACAGAGGACATATATAGAGGACGCGCACAGAGGACATATATAGAGGGGACACACGGAGGACACATATATAGAGGGGACACACACGGAGGACACATATATAGAGGGGACACACAGAGGACACATATATAGAGGGGACACACGGAGGACACATATAGAGGACACACAGAGGACACATATAGAGGACACACACAGAGGACACATATATAGAGGGGACACACAGAGGACACATATATAGAGGGGACACACAGAGGACACATATATAGAGGGGACACACAGAGGACACATATATAGAGGGGACACATATAGAGGGGACACACGGAGGACATATATAGAGGACAGACATATAGAGGACACATATAGAGGACACACACAGAGGACATATATAGAGGGGACACACAGAGGACACATATAGAGGGGACACACGGAGGACACACACGGAGGACACGCATATAGAGGGGACACAAGGAGGACACACACCTATAGACACATATATAGAGGACACACACAGAGGACACACCATGGAATTACATATTCAACTCATTAATAGGATCTCTGTGGTGAACATACATGCACCCCCACACGCAAAGGCACACACACTGGCGTGTGTATTAAACTACTTGAGCAAAAAAGCCATAACTCTCCTTTGCTATAGCCACACACACACCGACCACGCCTCAGCGCAGCACTGCAGCAGCCTCTCACTGGGCTCTCTGCCAGTTAGCTAGGATTTACCGCTAACATTACAGCCATACCAATGAGATAGCAGCTAGCATTATATTACAGCCATACCAATGAGATAGCAGCTAGCATTATATTACAGCCATACCAATGAGATAGCAGCTAGCATTAGCATTATATTACAGCCAGAACAAATGAAATAGCAGCTAGCATTTATATTACAGCCATACCAATGAGATAGCAGCTAGCATTATATTACAGCCATACCAATGAGATAGCAGCTAGCATTATATTACAGCCATACCAATGAGATAGCAGCTAGCATTAGCATTATATTACAGCCAGAACAAATGAAATAGCAGCTAGCATTTATATTACAGCCATACCAATGAGATAGCAGCTAGCATTATATTACAGCCATACCAATGAGATAGCAGCTAGCATTATATTACAGCCATACCAATGAGATAGCAGCTAGCATTAGCATTATATTACAGCCATACCAATGAAATAGCAGCTAGCATTTATATTACAGCCATACCAATGAGATAGCAGCTAGCATTATATTACAGCCATACCAATGAGATAGCAGCTAGCATTATATTACAGCCATACCAATGAGATAGCAGCTAGCATTAGCATTATATTACAGCCAGAACAAATGAAATAGCAGCTAGCATTTATATTACAGCCATACCAATGAGATAGCAGATAGCATTACATTATATTACAGCCATACCAATGAGATAGCAGCTAGCATTATATTACAGCCATACCAATGAGATAGCAGCTAGCATTATATTACAGCCATACCAATGAGATAGCAGCTAGCATTAGCATTATATTACAGCCATACCAATGAAATAGCAGCTAGCATTTATATTACAGCCATACCAATGAGATAGCAGCTAGCATTATATTACAGCCATACCAATGAGATAGCAGCTAGCATTAGCATTATATTACAGCCATACCAATGAGATAGCAGCTAGCATTAGCATTATATTACAGCCATACCTCCTGAGTGGCGCAGTGGTCTAAGGCACTGTATTGCAGTGCTAACTGTGTCACTAGAGATCCTGGTTCGAATCCAGGCTCTGTCGCAGCCGGCCGCGACCGGGAGACTCATGGGCGGCGCACAATTGGCCCAGCGTTGTCCAGGGTAGGGGAGGGAATGGCCGGCAGGGATGTAGCTCAGTTGATAGAGCATGGCGTTTGCAACGCCAGGGTTGTGGGTTCGATTCCCATGGGGGGCCAGTATAAAAAAAATATTAAAAAAACTGTAAGTCGCTCTGGATAAGAGCGTCTGCTAAATGACAAAAATGTAAATGTAATGAGATAGCAGCTAGCATTATATTACAGCCATACCAATGAGATAGCAGCTAGCATTATATTACAGCCATACCAATGAGATAGCAGCTAGCATTAGCATTATATTACAGCCATACCAATGAAATAGCAGCTAGCATTTATATTACAGCCTTACCAATGAGGTAGCAGCTAGAATTACATTACAGCCATACCAATGAGGTAGCAGCTACCATTACATTATATTACAGCCATACCAATGAGATAGCAGCTAGCATTATATTACAGCCATACCAATGAGATAGCAGCTAGCATTAGCATTATATTACAGCCATACCAATGAGGTAGCAGCTAGCATTATATTACAGCCATACCAATGAGATAGCAGCTAGCATTATATTACAGCCATACCAATGAGGTAGCAGTTAGCATTACATCATATTACAGCCATACCAATGAGATAGCAGCTAGCATTACATTATATTACAGCCATACCAATGAGATAGCAGCTAGCATTAGCATTATATTACAGCCATACCAATGAGATAGCAGCTAGCATTATATTACAGCCATACCAATGAGGTAGCAGCTAGCATTACATTATATTACAGCCATACCAATGAGATAGCAGCTAGCATTACATTATATTACAGCCATACCAATGAGATATCAGCTAGCATTAGCATTATATTACAGCCATACCAATGAGGTAGCAGCTAACATTACATTATATTACAGCCATACCAATGAGATAGCAGCTAGCATTACATTATATTACAGCCATACCAATGAGATATCAGCTAGCATTAGCATTATATTACAGCCATACCAATGAGATATCAGCTAGCATTATATTACAGCCATACCAATGAGGTAGCAGCTAGCATTAGCATTATATTACAGCCATACCAATGAGATAGCAGCTAGCATTACATTATATTACAGCCATACCAATGAGATATCAGCTAGCATTATATTACAGCCATACCAATGAGGTAGCAGCTAGCATTAGCATTATATTACAGCCATACCAATGAGGTAGCAGCTAGCATTACATTATATTACAGCCATACCAATGAGATAGCAGCTAGCATTACATTATATTACAGCCATACCAATGAGATATCAGCTAGCATTAGCATTATATTACAGCCATACCAATGAGATATCAGCTAGCATTATATTACAGCCTGTAAGTAAGCATTTCACTGTAATGTCTGCACCTGTTGTATTCGGCGCATGTGACCAATAAAATTTGATTTGATACCAATGAGGTAGCAGCTAGCATTACATTATATTACAGCCATACCAATGAGGTAGCAGTTAGCATTACATTATATTACAGCCATACCAATGAGGTAGCAGTTAGCATTACATTATATTACAGCCATACCAATGAGATAGCAGCTAGCATTACATTATATTACAGCCATACCAATGAGATAGCAGCTAGCATTATATTACAGCCATACCAATGAAATAGCAGCTAGCATTATATTACAGCCATACCAATGAGATAGCAGCTAGCATTACATTATATTACAGCCATACCAATGAGATATCAGCTAGCATTAGCATTATATTACAGCCATACCAATGAGGTAGCAGCTAGCATTACATTATATTACAGCCATACCAATGAGATAGCAGCTAGCATTACATTATATTACAGCCATACCAATGAGATATCAGCTAGCATTATATTACAGCCATACCAATGAGATATCAGCTAGCATTATATTACAGCCATACCAATGAGATATCAGCTAGCATTAGCATTATATTACAGACATACCAATGAGATATCAGCTAGCATTATATTACAGCCATACCAATGAGGTAGCAGCTAGCATTACATTATATTACAGCCATACCAATGAGATAGCAGCTAGCATTACATTATATTACAGCCATACCAATGAGATATCAGCTAGCATTAGCATTATATTACAGCCATACCAATGAGATAGCAGCTAGCATTACATTATATTACAGCCATACCAATGAGATATCAGCTAGCATTAGCATTATATTACAGCCATACCAATGAGATATCAGCTAGCATTATATTACAGCCTGTAAGTAAGCATTTCACTGTAATGTCTGCACCTGTTGTATTCGGCGCATGTGACCAATAAAATGTGATTTGATACCAATGAGGTAGCAGCTAGCATTACATTATATTACAGCCATACCAATGAGAGAGCAGCTAGCATTACATTATATTACAGCCATACCAATGAGATAGCCGATAGCATTACATTATATTACAGCCATACCAATGAGATAGCAGCTAGCATTACATTATATTACAGCCATACCAATGAGATAGCAGATAGCATTACATTATATTACAGCCATACCAATGAGATAGCAGCTAGCATTACATTATATTACAGCCATACCAATGAGATAGCAGCTAGCATTACATTATATTACAGCCATACCAATGAGATAGCAGATAGCATTACATTATATTACAGCCATACCAATGAGATAGCAGCTAGCATTACATTATATTACAGCCATACCAATGAGATAGCAGCTAGCATTACATTATATTACAGCCATACCAATGAGATAGCAGCTAGCATTATATTACAGCCATACCAATGAGATAGCAGCTAGCATTACATTATATTACAGCCATACCAATGAGATATCAGCTAGCATTATATTACAGCCATACCAATGAGATATCAGCTAGCATTATATTACAGCCATACCAATGAGATAGCAGATAGCATTACATTATATTACAGCCATACCAATGAGATAGCAGCTAGCATTACATTATATTACAGCCATACCAATGAGATATCAGCTAGCATTATATTACAGCCATACCAATGAGATAGCAGCTAGCATTACATTATATTACAGCCATACCAATGAGATATCAGCTAGCATTATATTACAGCCATACCAATGAGATATCAGCTAGCATTATATTACAGCCATACCAATGAGATAGCAGATAGCATTACATTATATTACAGCCATACCAATGAGATAGCAGCTAGCATTACATTATATTACAGCCATACCAATGAGATAGCAGATAGCATTAGCTGTAGCATTACATTAGACTAATATTAGTGGATTTGGCTATTTCAGCCACACCCGTTGCTGACAGGTATATAAAATTGAGCACACAGCCATGCAATCTCCATAGACAAAAAATGGCAGTAGAATGGCCTTACTGAAGAGCTCAGTGACTTTCCCTAGTCAACTGTAAGTGCTGTTATTCTGAAGTGGAAAGGTCTTGGAGCAACAACATCTTAGCCGCGAAGTGGTAGGCCACACAAGCTCACAGAACGGGACCGCCGAATGATGAAGCGCGTAGAAATCGTCTGTCCTTGGTTACAACACTCGCTACTGAGTTCCAAACTGCCTCTGGAAGCAACGTCAGCACAGTAACTATTAGTCAGGAGCTTCATGAAATGGGTTTCCACGGCCGAGCAGCCGCACACAAGCCTAAGATCACCACGCGCAATGCCAAGCGTCGGCTGGAGTGGTGTCAAGCTCGCCGCCATTGAACTCTGGAGTGATGGATGTATCTGGGTTTGGCAGATGCCAGGAGAGCGCTACCTGCCCAAATGCATAGTGCCAACTGTAAAGTTTGGTGGAGGAGGAATAATGGTCTGGGGCTGTTTTTCATGGTTTGGGCTAGGCCCCTTAGTTCCAGTGACGGGAAATCTTAACGCTACAGCATACAATGACATTCTAGACGATTCTGTGCTTCCAACTTTGTGGCAACAGTTTGAGGAAGGCCCTTTCCTGTTTCAGCATGACAATGCCCCCGTGCACAAAGCGAGGTCAATACAGAAATGGTTTGTAGATCGGTGTGGAAGAACTTGACTGGCCTGCACAGAGCCCTGACCTCTACCTTACTGGAATGAATTGGAACGCCGACTGCGAGCCAGGCCTAATCTCCCAACATCAGTGCCCGACCTCACTAATGCTCTTGTGGCTGAATGGAAGCAAGTCCCCGCAGCAATGTTCCAACATCTAGTGGAAAGCCTTCCCAGAAGAGTGGAGGCTGTTATAGCAGCAAAGGGGGGACCAACTCCATATTAATACCCATGATTTTTGAATGAGATGTTCGACGAACAGGTGTCGACATACTTTTGGTCATGTAGTGTACCAATGAGATAGCAGCTAGCGTTAGCATTACATTACCTCAATACCAATGAGATAGCAGCTAGCGTTAGCATTACATTACCTCAATACCAATGAGATAGCAGCTAGCGTTAGCATTACATTACCTCAATACCAATGAGATAGCAGCTAGTGTTAGCATTACATTACCTCCATACCAATGAGATAGCAGCTAGCGTTAGCATTACATTACCTCAATACCAATGAGATAGCAGCTAGCGTTAGCATTACATTACCTCAATACCAATGAGATAACAGCTAGCGTTAGCATTACATTACCTCCATACCAATGAGATAGCAGCTAGCGTTAGCATTACATTACCTCATACCAATGAGCTTATAGGGACTAGCGATAGCAAAGATGCTTGATGTCATGTTTTGCTCTCTCTTTCTCCTCCCTCTCCCTGTCTCTCTCTCTCTGTGTGTGTAATAATGATATTGCTAACACCTCATATTTGTCTTAATTTGTGTGTAGGTATAGAGGTTTTATGGCAGGTAGCCTAGCGGTTAAGAGCCTTGGGTCAGTAACCCGAAAGGTCGCTGATTCAAATCCCCGAGCCGACTAGCTGGAATAATCAGTAAGTTGCTCTGGATAAGAGCGTCTGATAAATGAGTAAAATGTATTAGTTATTTAACCCTGTGTGTCCAGGTATAGAAGAACCCCTGGTTGTGAAGAGGAGGGAGACTCTGAAACCTGGGTTTCTCCACTCACCCTGGAAGAGTGCCTACGTACAACAACACCACATAGAGAGCAACTGGAGGACTGGAGATATCACCTCACCTAAGGTACCGTATAACACATAGAGAGAACTGGAGATATCACCTCACCTAAGGTACTGTATAACACATAGAGAGGACTGGAGATATCACCTCACCTAAGGTACTGTATAACATATAGAGAGGACTGGAGATATCACCTCACCTAAGGTACTGTATAACATATAGAGAGGACTGGAGATATCACCTCACCTAAGGTACTGTATAACATATAGAGAGGACTGGAGATATCACCTCACCTAAGGTACTGTATAACACATAGAGAGGACTGGAGATATCACCTCACCTAAGGTACTGTACAGTGCATTCGGAAAGTATTCAGACCCCTTGACTTTTTCCACATTTTGTTACGTTACAGCCTTATTCTAAAATTGATTCAATAAATAAACAATCATCAATCTACACATTTTTGCTAATTTATTCAACATAAAAAACAGATACTTTATTTAAGTAAGTATTCAGGCCCTTTGCTATGAGACTCGAAATTGAGCTCAGGTGCATCCTGTTTACATTGATCATCCTTGAGATGTTTCTACAACTTGATTGGAGTCCACCTGTGGTAAATTCAATTGATTGGACATGATTTGGAAAGGCACACACCTGTCTATATAAGGTCCCACAGTTGACAGTGCATGTCAGAGCAAAAACCAAGCCATGAGGGCGAAGGAATTGTCCGTAGAGCTCCGAGATCGGATTGTGTCGAGGCACAGATCTGGGGAAGGGTACCAATACATGTCTGCAGCATTGAAGGTCCCCTAGAACACAGTGGCCTCCATCATTCTTAAATGGAAGAAGTTTGGAACCTCAAGACTCTTCCTAGAGCTGGCCGCCCGGCCAAACTGAGCAATCGGGGGAGAAGGGCCTTGGTCAGGGAGGTGACCAAGAACCCGATGGTCTCTCTGAAAGACCTCCAGAGTTCCTCTGTGGAGATGGAAGAACCTTCCAGAAGGACAACCATCTCTGCAGCACTCCACCAATCAGGCCTTTATGGTAGAGTGGCCAGACGGAAGCCACTCCTCAGTAAAAGGCACATGACAGCCCGCTTGGAGTTTGCCAAAAGGCACCTAAAGACTCTCAGACCATGAGAAACAAGATTCTCTGGTCTGATGAAACCAAGATTGAACTCTTTGGCCTGAATGTCAAGCTTCACGTCTGGAGGAGACCTGGCACCATCCCTACGGTGAAGCATGGTGGTGGCAGCATCATGCTGTGGGGATGTTTTTCAGAGGCAGGGACTGGGAGACTAGTCAGGATCGAGGGAATGATGAACGGAGCAAAGATGAAAACCTGCTCCAGAGCGCTCAGGACCTCAGACTGGGGCGAAGGTTCACCTTCCAACAGGACAACGACCCTAAGCACACAGCCAAGACAACGCAGGAGTGGCTTCGGGACAAGTCTCTGAATGTCCTTGAGTGGCCCAGCCAGAGCCCGGACTTGAACCTGATCGAACATCTCTGGAGAGACCTGAAAATAGCTGTGCAGCGACGCTCCCCATCCAACCTGACAGAGCTTGAGAGGATCTGCAGAGAAGAATGGGAGAAACTCCACAAATACAGTTGTGCCAAGCTTGTAGCGTCATACCCAAGAAGACTCGAGGCTGTAATCGCTGCCAAAGGTGCTTCAATAAAGTTCTGAGTAAAGGGTCTGAATACTTATGTAATTTTTTTATTTCAGTTTAAATAATTTGATTTCTAAAAACCTGTTTTTGCTTTTATCATTATGGGGTATTGTGTGTAGATTCATGAGGGGATTTGTATATATATATTTTTTAACCATTTTAGAATAAGGCTGTAACGTAACTAAATGTGGAGAAAGTCAAGAGGTCTGAATACTTTCCGAATGCACTGTATACACGTGTGTGTTGAGGGTTCAGGTAGAGGTGTGTTGAGGGGTCAAGTGTCCAGGTGCGTATTCATTAGGCCGATTCTGTTGCTAAACGTTTCTTAAATGCAAGGAAAACGAAACGTGGAGGGACCTACCTGAATTTGTCCAGTATAGAAACATTTTGTTTTGCTCGGTTTGCTTCCGTTTGGTTCTTAAACGGTTTCCATAGTGAATACACCCCAGTTCTGTCTTGGATTAAAGGCTTGTTGTATAATATCTCTGGATTAATCTTTAACATTCCTATAACCTCTCTCACACTCTCTGTGTCTGCCCCAGGTGCTGAAGGGTCATGATGATCACGTGATCACTTGTCTGCAGTTCTGTGGTGACCTCATAGTCAGTGGATCTGATGACAACACTCTGAAAGTCTGGTCTGCCCTGACCAGCAAGGTAAGGCTGCTGTACAATATATACAGTCATGGCCAAAATTGTTGGCACCCCTGAAATTTTTCCAGAAAATGAAGTATTTCTCACAGAAAAGTATTGAAATTACACATGTTTTGCTATGCACATGTTTATTTCCTTTGTGTGTATTGCAATAACACAAAAAAAAAAACAGGAAAAAAGCAAATTTGACATAATTTCACACAAAACTAAAAAAATGGGCCGGACAAAGTTATTGGCACCCTTTCAAAATTGTGGATAAATAAGTTTGTTCCAAGCATGTGATGCTCCTTTAAACTCACCTGGGGCAAGTAACAGGTGTGGGCAATCTAAAAATCACACCTGAAAGCAGATAAAAAGGAGAGAAGTTGACTCAGTCTTTGCATTGTGTTTCTGTGTGTGCCACACTAAGCATGGAGAACAGAAAGAGGAAAAGAGAACTGTCTGAGGACTTGAGAACCAAAATTGTGGAAAAATATCAACAATCTCAAGGTTACAAGTCCATCTCCAGAGATCTAGATGTTCCTTTGTCCACAGTGCGCAACATGATCAAGAAGTTTGCAACCCATGGCACTGTAGCTAATCTCCCTGGACGTGGACGGAAGAGAAAAATTGATGAAAGGTTGCAACGCAGGATAGTCCGGATGGTGGATAAGCAGCCCCAAACAAGTTCCAAAGAAATTCAAGCTGTCCTGCAGGCTCAGGGTGCATCAGTGTCAGCGCGAACTATACGTCGAAATTTGAATGAAATGAAACGCTATGGCAGGAGACCCAGGAGGACCCCACTGCTGACACAGAGCAAGACTACAGTTTGCCAAAATGTACATGAGTAAGCCAAATTCCTTCTGGGAGAACGTCTTATGGACAGATGAGACCAAGATAGAGCTTTTTGGTAAAGCACATCGTTCTACTGTTTACCGAAAATGTAATGAAGCCTTCAAAGAAAAGAACACAGTACCTACAGTCAAATATGGTGGAGGTTCAAAGATGTTTTGGGGTTGTTTTGCTGCCTCTGGCACTGGGTGCCTTGACTGTGTGCAAGGCATCATGAAATCTGAGGATTACCAAAGGATTTTGGGTCGCAATGTAGGGCCCAGTGTCAGAAAGCTGGGTTTGCGTCCGAGATCATGGGTCTTCCAGCAGGACAATGACCCCAAACATACTTCAAAAAGCACCCAGAAATGGATGGCAACAAAGCGCTGGAGAGTTCTGAAGTGGCCAGCAATGAGTCCAGATCTTAATCCCATTGAACACCTGTGGAGAGATCTTAAAATTGCTGTTGGGAAAAGGCACCCATCCAATATGAGAGACCTGGAGCAGTTTGCAAAAGAAGAGTGGTCCAAAATTCCGGGTGAGAGGTGTAAGAAGCTTATTGATGGTTATAGGAAGCGACTGATTTCAGTTATTTTTTCCAAAGGGTGTGCAACTAAATATTAAGTTAAGGGTGCCAATCATTTTGTCCGGCCCATTTTTTGAGTTTTGTGTGAAATTATGTCAAATTTGCTTTTTTCCTGTTTTTTTTTGTGTTATTCCAATACACACAAAGGAAATAAACATGTGCATAGCAAAACATGTGTAATTTCAATACTTTTCTGTGAGAAATACTTCATTTTCTGGAAAAATTTCAGGGGTGCCAACAATTTTGGCCATGACTGTATATATATACCCTGTTTCAAAGAAAAGGGAAGGACATGAAATGTGTGCCTTCAGTGTGGTGTATTCACCTGGGAGAGAGGGCTATGATCTGAAAAGGACCCTGCATGTCCTCTACCTCAGGGTTCCCCAATCCCCCCCCCCACCCCCAGCTGGGAAATGCAATTTAATTACAATTTGTGTGTTTTATGTGCATTTTTCTTGAATAACCTTTTTGGTTTTTGAGTAGCTAATCTCACACCTTTTACTCGGGAGGATTGGTTCAAGAGGATAAAACATGTTTTACTCAGGAGGATTCCTTCATTAGGTTCAACACGTCAAGTATCCTTCCCATGGTTCACAGAGGAGCTGCACAGCGTGAAGACCCCGTGGCCGCAGTTTATAGCGTCTGGAGACGTTCCCTCCTTTCTATCCTCCTACTGGCTACGAAGGCCACCTCCCCCTTCAGTCACCTCCTCCTGTTCTCCCCCTTCAGTCACCTCCTCCTGTTCTCCCCCTTCAGTCACCTCCTCCTGTTCTCCCCCTTCAGTCACCTCCTCCTGTTCTCCCCCATCAGTCACCTCCTCCTGTTCTCCCCTGTTCTCCCCCATCAGTCACCTCCTCCTGTTCTCCCCCTTCAGTCACCTCCTCCTGTTCTCTCCTGTTCTCCCCCATCAGTCACCTCCCCTGTTCTCCCCCATCAGTCACCACCTCCTGTTCTCCCCCATCAGTCACCTCCTCCTGTTCTCCCCCTTCAGTCACCTCCTCCTGTTCTCCCCCTTCAGTCACCTCCTCCTGTTCTCCCCCATCAGTCACCTCCTCCTGTTCTCCCCCTTCAGTCACCTCCTCCTGTTCTCCGACTTCAGTCACCTCCTCCACCCTACAAACCCAGGTCCTCCTGTAGCCGAAACTCTCTCGCGGTGTGACAGATTTTCAGCTCAAATGACTCTCTATCTGTATGCTGTAGGACTGTGATAAATAAGATCCATAACGACTAACAAAAATACACACGCCAATTTTAATTCCACTAAATTATGCAAATGGACCTTTAGACCGATAAGCCCGACCAGTGAAATGTCTTTCCATCGACTGGTATTTCATCAAATAAAAATCTCCTATTCATTGATCGGCTTTTCGTTTCTAATTTTTGGGACCGAAAGCCGTCAATTACCGGCTAACGGAAACCCTGACGGGAATCGTGAGGACTGCTGGTGGTATTCAGCGCCCTGTCTCGTGAGGACCGGAGGCTGCTGGTGGTATTCAGCGCCCTGTCTCGTGAGGACCGGAGGCTGCTGGTGGTATTCAGCGCCCTGTCTCGTGAGGACCGGAGGCTGCTGGTGGTATTCAGCGCCCTGTCTCGTGAGGACCGGAGGCTGCTGGTGGTATTCAGCGCCTGTCTGTGAGGAACGGAGGCTGTTGGATTCAGCGCCCTGTCTGTGAGGACCGGAGGCTGCTGGTGGTATCAGCGCCCTGTCTCGTGAGGACCGGAGGCTGCTGGTGGTATTCAGCGCCCTGTCTCGTGGTAGCCCGGGGACCGGAGGCCTGCTGGTGGTATTCAGCGCCCTGTCTCGTGGAGGACCGGAGGCTGCTGGGGTATTCAGCGCCCTGTCTCGTGAGGACCGGAGGCTGCTGGTGGTATTCAGCGCCCTGTCTCGTGAGGACCGGAGGCTGCTGGTGGTATTCAGCGCCCTGTCTCGTGAGGACCGGAGGCTGCTGGTGGTATTCAGCGCCCTGTCTCGTGAGGACCGGAGGCTGCTGGTGGTATTCAGCGCCCTGTCCTCGTGAACACCGGAGGCTGCTGGTGGTATTCAGCGCCCTGTCTCGTGAGGACCGGAGGCTGCTGGTGGTATTCAGCGCCCTGTCTCGTGAGGACCGGAGGCTGCTGGTGGTATTCAGCGCCCTGTCTCGTGAGGACCGGAGGCTGCTGGTGGTATTCAGCGCCCCGTCTCTCGCCGTTCCTGTCAGTTGAGTTTGACAGACTTAACCCCGCCTGCCCTGTTGCTGTGGCACTGTGTCTGTGTGTGGCCGAGGTGATGAATGCTTTATCAGTATAGTTTTAATGAGGTAATTCTTTTGTGAATGCAGAACTCTCTCGGAGTCCCAAATGGCACCCAATTCCCTGCATAGTGCACTGCGTAGTTCACTGGCTCAAAAAATAGTGCACAGAGAATAGACTGCCGTTTGGGACGTACCCTCTGTCGTACCGAGTTGTCCTCAGTAGCTGTACTCGTTCATACACGACCCTGTCTCGTTCCCTTGTTCACTCTCTACCTCCGCTCCAGAGTATGTGCTGAATCAGGTGTGAACGCACCACTCCCTTTCCGCTCCGAAACTAGCTCAATGTTTACACCATCGCCTAGGAAACCACGAAAAACACGGTTACATTTGCCAAAGCAGTGAAATAAACAAACGACAAGCAAAAAAACTATTAAGTGAGCGGGTAAACATTTAAGGTTTCTAAAAAATTGACCTTGTTATATTATCAGCTATGTACAGTGTTTTAGCAATATGGAAATAGTTGTAGTAGGAATAGTAGGGGAAGAGAAATAAACAGGTAAATATGGGTTGTATTTACAATACTGGTTTCCCTTAATCCCCCTCGCTCGCTCAATCGCTTTCGCACGCTCTCTCTCTCTCTCTCTCTCTCTCCTCTCGCTATCTCTCTCTCTCTTTCCTCTCTCTCTCTCTCTCTATCTCTCTCTCTCTCTCTCTCCTTCTCTCCTCCTCTCTCTCTCTCTCTCTCTCTATTCTCTCTCTCTCTCTCTCTCTCTCTCTCTCTCTGTCTCGTCTCTGTCTCTGTCTTGTCATATTGTCTCTGTCCTCTCTCTCCTCCTGTCTCTCCCCATATCTCTCTCTTCTTCGCTCTCTCTATCCCCCATCCCTCTCTCTGGAGAATTACGCAGGCCAGTCAGGAATGCAGCAGTCAGCAGAAAGAGGGTTTAATAAAAGAAAACTCACATTCCCACGTTGGAGAATGCCACAGCTTATCTAAACTGGTTGATAATGGTAAACCATATACGGTGTGGTTAGATTACAGCTTTCACTATCATATAGATTACAGCTTTCACTATCATATAGATTACAGCTTTCACTATCATATAGATTACAGCTTTCACTATCATATAGATTACAGCTTTCACTATCATATAGATTACAGCTTTCACTATCATATAGATTACAGCTTTAACTATCATATAGATTAGAGCTTTCACTATCATATAGATTAGAGCTTTCACTATCATATAGATTACAGCTTTCACTCTCATATAGATTACAGCTTTCACTATCATATAGATTACAGCTTTCACTATTATATAGATTACAGCTTTCACTATCATATAGATTACAGCTTTCACTATCATATAGATTTACAGCTTTCGCTATCATTATACCGCTTCACTTCATTCGCTACGTCTTTCACTATCATATAGATTACAGCTTTCACTATCATATAGATTACAGCTTTCACTATCATATAGATTACAGCTTTCACTATCATATAGATTACAGCTTTCACTATCATATAGATTACAGCTTTCGCTATCATATAGATTACAGCTTTCACTATCATATAGATTACAGCTTTCACTCTCATATAGATTACAGCTTTCACTCTCATATAGATTACAGCTTTCACTCTCATATAGATTACAGCTTTCACTCTCATATAGATTACAGCTTTCACTCTCATATAGATTACAGCTTTCACTATCATATAGATTACAGCTTTCACTCTCATATAGATTACAGCTTTCACTATCATATAGATTACAGCTTTCACTCTCATATAGATTACAGCTTTCACTATCATATAGATTACAGCTTTCACTATCATATGGATTAGTTTAGACATCCTACTGTTCCCTGATGGAGTTTAGACATCCTACTGTTCCCTGATGGAGTTTAGACATCCTACTGTTCCCTGATGGAGTTTAGACATCCTACTGTCCCTGATGGAGTTTAGACATCCTACTGTTCCCTGTGGAGTTTAGACATCCTACTGTTCCATGATGGAGTTTAGACATCCTACTGTCCCTGATGGAGTTTAGACATCCTACTGTTCCCTGATGGAGTTTAGACATCCTACTTCCCTGTGGAGTTTAGACATCCTACTGTTCCATGATGGAGTTAGACACCCTACTGTTCCCTGATGGAGTTTAGACATCCTACTGTTCCCTGATGGAGTTTAGACATCCTACTGTTCCCTGATGGAGTTTAGACATCCTACTGTTCCCTGATGGAGTTTAGACATCCTACTGTTCCCTGATGGAGTTTAGACATCCTACTGTTCCCTGATGGAGTTTAGACATCCTACTGTTCCCATGAGGTTTTAGACATCCTACTTTCCCTGTGGTAGACATCCTAGTCTGTGTTTAGAACCCTACTGTTCCTGGGAGTTTGGACATCTCATTCCATGGAGTTAGACATCCTACTTTCCTGACGTTATCCTGATCTGGAGTTTAGACATCCTACTGTTCCCTGATGGAGTTTAAAAACCTGTTCCCATGGAGTAATCTACTGTCCTGATGGAGTTTAGAAGCTATGCATGAGAAGAATCTACGTTCTGAAGCATCCTACGTAAGGAGTTTAGACATCCATCCCTAAAGGAGTTTAGACATCTACGTCCTGATGGAGTTTAGACATCCTACTGTTCGATGAGTTAGAATCCTATGTTCCCGTGAGTTAGACATCCTACTGTTCCTGATGAGTTAGACATCAAACTTCCTGATGGAGTTAGACATCCTACTGTTCCCTGATGAGTTAGATGCTATGATTCCCTGATGTTGTCTGCTGCTAACTGTCCTACCTGAAAAGAGAATGGGTTATCACGTGCCGAGCTTTTAAATCTCTCCCTCCCCACCATAGCATCACACCCCCCCACCTACCATCGCCAGCATACAGCCTCTCCCCCCCCCCCCCTCCTCCCCTCCCCCCTCTCCCCCCCCCTCCCCCCCCCCCCCCCCCCCCCCTCCCCCCCCACCCCCCCCCCTCCCTCTCCCCCTCTCCCCCCCTCTCCCTCCTCCCCCCTCCAGTCCTGCGTACGTTAGTTGGCCTACGGAGGGGTGTGGTCCATCAGCCTAGTGAACCATGGTGATCAGCGGGTCGACAGACAGGATCAGAGGTTGGGACGTGGAGTGGAGAGTGGTTTACACCCTGTACGGACACACCTACCGACGGCTCATACACCTGCATGACAACAGTGGTTTAACCAACACACACCTCTACCGTACGCTGCACCTGCAGGACAAACAGTGAGTTAACAACAACCACCGACCTCTCCCGACGCTGATAAACCGGAGACAAACAGTGAGTTGGACGGACACACACGGATACATGTGCATACAACACTCCAGACACACACCAACGCGACGCGCGGCGACTAACGAGCGAGATCATCGCTGACGTATCGTAATGCCGCGGGAGCGAGCGAGCCCGAGCGAGCGAAGGCGCCAGAGCCTCGACGAAGCCGAGCGCGAAGCGCATGCGAAGCGCGCCAAGCGCATGCAGCGAAGCGCAGCGAGCTAAGCCTGATGCGTCCGCCGATCGAGCGAAGCTCAGAGCGCGCCGAGCAACGCGAGCTGAGCGCAGCGCGAGCAGGTGAAGCTGCCGAGCGAAGCCGCTCGCGCAGCTAATCTGCGAGCGAAGCGCAGCAAGCGGAGCAAGCGAATGCCGTAGAGCGCCGAACCGCAGCTATAGCCGCGAGCAAGCCGACGCGCGCTAGCGAAGCGCGAGCGCGCTCTACGAAGCTCGATCGAACTCGAAGCGCTATCAAGCGCGACGCGAGAGCTGCGAATCTCGAGCGAGCGAACGCTAGCTCCTGCTCTCTCTCCCTGCGTAAGCGCTAGCGAAGCCGAGCCAGCTGAATGCGCAGCGCCTCGCGACTAAGCGCTATCTATCTAAGTCTCCGTCTCGAGCTATCTCTAGCTAGCTAATCCACTCGATCTCGCTCTCTCTATCTAATATCTCTATCTAATCTCGATCTCGCTCTCTCTATCTAATATCTCTATCTAATCTCTATCTATCTAATCTCTATCTATCTAATCTCCATCTCTCTCTCTATCTAATCTCTATCTCTCCATATCTCTATCTATTCTAAGCTCTATATCTCTCTATCTAATCTCTATCTAATCTCCATATCTCTCTCTATCTAATCTCTATCTCTCCATATCTCTATCTATCTAATCTCTATCTATCTAATCTCTATATCTCTCTATCTAATCTCCATCTCTCCCTCCCCCTCCTCTCCCCTCTCTCCCCCCAGGGTGGTGAGCGGTAGTCGTGATGCTACGTTGCGTCTGTGGGACGTAGAGTCTGGCGAGTGTCTCCACGTCCTAACGGGTCATGTGGCGGCGGTGCGGTGTGTCCAGTACGACGGGCGCAGGGTGGTCAGCGGTGGATACGACTTCATGGTCAAAGTCTGGGACCCTGAGACAGAGACATGTCTACACACACTGCAGGGACACACTAACAGAGTCTATTCACTACAGGTAGGAATATACACACTAACAGAGTCTATTCACTACAGGTAGGAATATACACACTGACAGAGTCTATTCACTACAGGTAGGAATATACACACTGACAGAGTCTATTCACTACAGGTAGGAATATACACACTGACAGTCTATTCACTACAGGTAGGAATATACACACTGACAGAGTCTATTCACTACAGGTAGGAATATACACACTGACAGAGTCTATTCACTACAGGTAGGAATATACACACTGACAGAGTCTATTCACTACAGGTAGGAATATACACACTGACAGAGTCTATTCACTACAGGTAGGAATATACACACTGACAGAGTCTATTCACTACAGGTAGGAATACACACACTGACAGAGTCTATTCACTACAGGTAGGAATATACACACTGACAGAGTCTATTCACTACAGGTAGGAATATACACACTGACAGAGTCTATTCACTACAGGTAGGAATATACACACTGACAGAGTCTATTCACTACAGGTAGGAATATACACACTAACAGAGTCTATTCACTACAGGTAGGAATATACACACTGACAGAGTCTATTCACTACAGGTAGGAATATACACACTGACAGTCTATTCACTACAGGTAGGAATATACACACTAACAGAGTCTATTCACTACAGGTAGGAATATACACACTGACAGAGTCTATTCACTACAGGTAGGAATATACACACTGACAGAGTCTATTCACTACAGGTAGGAATATACACTAACAGAGTCTATTCACTACAGGTAGGAATATACACACTGACAGAGTCTATTCACTACAGGTAGGAATATACACACTAACAGAGTCTATTCACTACAGGGAGGAATACACACACTGACAGAGTCTATTCACTACAGGTAGGAATACACACACTGACAGAGTCTATTCACTACAGGTAGGAATATACACACTGACAGAGTCTATTCACTACAGGTAGGAATATACACACTAACAGAGTCTATTCACTACAGGTAGGAATATACACACTGACAGAGTCTATTCACTACAGGTAGGAATATACACACTAACAGAGTCTATTCACTACAGGGAGGAATATACACACTGACAGTCTATTCACTACAGGTAGGAATATACACACTGACAGAGTCTATTCACTACAGGTAGGAATATACACACTAACAGAGTCTATTCACTACAGGTAGGAATATACACACTGACAGAGTCTATTCACTACAGGTAGGAATATACACACTGACAGAGTCTATTCACTACAGGTAGGAATATACACACTGACAGAGTCTATTCACTACAGGTAGGAATATACACACCAACAGAGTCTATTCACTACAGGTAGGAATATACACACTAACAGAGTCTATTCACTACAGGTAGGAATATACACACCAACAGAGTCTATTCACTACAGGTAGGAATATACACACTGACAGAGTCTATTCACTACAGGTAGGAATATACACACTGACAGAGTCTATTCACTACAGGTAGGAATATACACACTGACAGAGTCTATTCACTACAGGTAGGCGTTAGAACAGAGACTTCCCAGTTCTTGCGTCTTAGTTGTATGTGGATTTGGTGCTCCTGCCATTAACCACCCTCCTCCTCTCCACCAGTTTGACGGTGTCTACGTGGTCAGTGGATCTCTGGACACCTCCATCAGAGTATGGGACGTCGAGACGGGGGGGTGTGTCCACACGCTGACCGGCCACCAATCACTGACCAGTGGTATGGAACTAAAGAATAACATCCTGGTATCTGGCAACGCGGACTCTACTGTCAGGGTGTGGGATATACGGACAGGACAGTGTCTCCACACACTACAAGGTGAGATTATACACACTGTATATACAGCAGTATACTCTACTGTCTTGGATATACGGACAGGACAGTGTCTCCACACATGGACAGGACAGTGTCTCCACACATGGACAGGACAGTGTCTCCACACATGGACAGGACAGTGTCTCCACACACTACAAGGTGAGATTATACACACTGTATATACAGCAGTATACTGTCTTGGATATATGGACAGGACAGTGTCTCCACACATGGACAGGACAGTGTCTCCACACATGGACAGGACAGTGTCTCCACACATGGACAGGACAGTGTCTCCAAGGACCGGTTTGGAATGAAGCTGAAATACACTTCTGACTAGACTGGAATGTCCTATCTAGTCCAGGTCTACAGGTCTGTGGTTTAAAACTTCGTTTAGAGCGATGTTTTGGGTAGGGGGGTACTTGTGAGTTGATGGAGCTGAAGGTGGGGGGGGGTTGATGGTCTCATTAGTAACAGTGGAGGAGATGAGGGGGGGTTGAGAGCTGACGGTCTCATTAGTAACATTGGAGGAGATGAGGGGGGTGGGGGGGGGTGTCAAGGTCAGCTGTATAATTGGGTCACCTCTAGTGGTCCCCCATTCATCCTTACAATAAAGAAACAATGGAACATTCCTGTGTGTCTTGGTGAACAAGTGTGTTTTGTTCTCTTTGAGAGGGGTGTGGTTCGTTCTCAGAGGGGTGTGGTTCGTTCTCAGAGGGGTGTGGTTCTCAGAGGGGTGTGGTTCTCAGAGGGGTGTGGTTCGTTCTCAGAGGGGTGTGGTTCGTTCTCAGAGGGGTGTGGTTCTCAGAGGGGTGTGGTTCTCAGAGGGGTGTGGTTCTCAGAGGGGTGTGGTTCTCTGTTTTAGTGGCTTGGAGTATGTTACTGATTTTATAGTCTCTTCCATTTTAAAAGGGGGGGGGGGTCATTGGTGGTTGGTGCCATTCAATATTAGAGAGGCTGGTTTTTATTTTTATGAGCGTGGCCTTATTTCTATTACAGCATATTGGATGACTGTCATTCATATTCCATTCACCCAGTTCAATGTAACATGGATAGGTTTAGGCTACTACATGATACTCTAATGTTCCCTGTACCCATCATGAGGTTGCTACAACCTAGCCTATGAATGAAAGTTCACAACGTAGGCGCACAGGTCGAAAGACAAATTGTAATTAAGGTGACAGACAGTGACACATTCAATACCGCCTTGAACACTGTTGAAAGGGGCAGGTCATCTAGCTAATCTGGGCTGTAATCATTAGTCGAGGACGTTCAGTTTTCTCTTATCACAGCCCTCGGCCTACAATGTCGGCGTCCCCGTGGAAATCTAATTGACATAATAAAGAAATCCCCATCAAAATCTGTCTGTTTAAGCTAGAGAGATGTTGCATGGGCTGCGTCTCAATCCGCCGATATCGCCCTTCCTCATCTGCGGTGAAAGGTGACCGAGCTAGAGCGGTGTGTGTCAGACCATGTGACATCCCGAAAATCGGTCTTCTCACGAAAACGTCTGTAGCGTCCGAACGGTTTGGCCTAAAAACGATTATGACCCCTCTATGGAAACACGATGGAGTTCTACATTTAAATAAATAAAATAAAACGAGTTTCTTGATCTTATATCTCTCAGGCCCTGTGTAGCTCAGTTGGTAGAGCGTGGCGTTTGCAACGCCAGGGTTGTGGGTTCAATTCCCACGGGGGGCCATTCTGAAAAAATGTATGCACTCACTTAACTGTAAGTCGCTCTGGATAAGAGCGTCTGCTAAATGACTAAAAAAATTATATATATATATATATATATATATATATATATAGTAGACACTTCAGAACAAACTTCCTTTTGATTTGTTTTTGGGGACTGTCTGTTGAACCTATTTAGGCTTGCCATTACAAAAGGGTTGAATACTTATTGACTCAAGACATTTTTAGTTTTTCATTTTGTATTTAATTTGGAGAGAAAAAAATCTAAAAACATAATTCCACTTTGACATTATGGGGTATTGTGTGTAGACCAGTGACACAACATCTCAATTTAATCCATTTTTAATTCAGGCTGTAACACAACAAAATGTGGAAAAAGCCAAGGGGTGTGAATACTGTCTGGAGGCACTGTATGTATCGTACCTCCCAGATACCCATAAGCACCAATCAGCAGTAACCTGTCTCCAGTTCTCCTACTATAACTAACTCTCTCCCCCTCTCTCTCCCTCTCTCTCCAGGTCCCCATAAGCACCAGTCAGCAGTAACCTGTCTCCAGTTCTCTCGCTCCCTGGTGGTCTCGTCATCAGATGACGGTACAGTGAAGCTGTGGAGCCTGGCGACGGGGGAGTGGCTCAGAGACCTGGTGGCTCTGCAGAGTGGAGGATCCGGGGGAGTGGTCTGGAGGATCAGGTAAAGAAATGAGACGCACGGGGGAGTGGCTCAGAGACCTGGTGACCCTGCAGAGTGGAGGCTGTGGGGGGGGGGGGGGGGATCAGGTAATCAACCAGGACATATTCACAAAGCGAGTAGGTCTGTTGATCTAGGATCAGGTCCCCTTAGCCATTCATTATAGTCGAATTGGCAAAACGGATCAGAAAAGGTCCTGGGAATCCTGTTAAACAGCTCCGGGAAGGTTTTGGGATGATTTTAAGACACTGCTCAGACAAACATAGCCAGGAGTAAACTCAACTCATGACAGTTGGGAGGTACCGGTAGAGGAAAGACGGTGTTGACGCTCATTGACATTGTTGCAAATGATGGGAAATAACCAATCAGGATGAGGCGTCGCCAGCTGTGAACTCTACAGCGGGTTTCAGACCAACCACGGTGAATGTTGACTGTACGTCAAAATGTTGCATTGATAAAACGTTTGATGTCATTTTAGCCTGACACAATCCCTTTTCAATAATGTGATGGCATATTCCACTGAATCAGACAGGATGATGCCATTTGAAAGCGGAATTTTGATAATATTACCGTTATATATCAACACACTCGTCACTCCCGTTAAACAACGCTGAATGACACAGTAGGCATCACGTCACTTCTCAACAATGTTTCATACAGCGTTAGAAAACTAACCCTCTCTCTCTCCTCTCTCCAGGGTGTCTAACACCAGACTGGTAACACTAACCCTCTCTGTCTCCTCTCTCCAGGGCGTCTAACACCAGACTGGTAACACTAACCCTCTCTCTCTCCTCTCTCCAGGGTGTCTAACACCAGACTGGTAACACTAACCCTCTCTCTCTCCTCTCTCCAGGGTGTCTAACACCAGACTGGTAACACTAACCCTCTCTCTCTCCTCTCTCCAGGGTGTCTAACACCAGACTGGTAACACTAACCCTCTCTCTCCTCTCTCCAGGGTGTCTAACACCAGACTGGTAACACTAACCTCTCTCTCTCTCTCCTCTCTCCAGGGTGTCTAACACCAGACTGGTAACACTAAACCCTCTCTCTCTCCTCTCTCCAGGGTGTCTAACACCAGACTGGTAACACTAACCCTCTCTCTCTCCTCTCTCCAGGGTGTCTAACACCAGACTGGTAACACTAACCCTCTCTCTCTCCTCTCTCCAGGGTGTCTAACACCAGACTGGTAACACTAACCCTCTCTCTCTCCTCTCTCCAGGGTGTCTAACACCAGACTGGTAACACTAACCCTCTCTCTCCTCTCTCCAGGGTGTCTAACACCAGACTGGTAACACTAACCCTCTCTCTCTCCTCTCTCCAGGGTGTCTAACACCAGACTGGTAACACTAACCCCTCTCTCTCCTCTCTCCAGGGTGTCTAACACCAGACTGGTAACACTAACCCTCCTCTCTCCTCTCTCCAGGGTGTCTAACACCAGACTGGTAACACTAACCCTCTCTCTCTCCTCTCTCCAGGGTGTCTAACACCAGACTGGTAACACTAACCCTCTCTCTCTCCTCTCTCCAGGGTGTCTAACACCAGACTGGTAACACTAACCCTCTCTCTCCTCTCTCCAGGGTGTCTAACACCAGACTGGTAACACTAACCCTCTCCTCTCTCCTCTCTCCAGGGCGTCTAACACCAGACTGGTAACACTAACCCTCTCCTCTCTCTCCTCTCTCCAGGGTGTCTAACACCAGACTGGTAACACTAACCCTCTCTCTCCTCTCTCCAGGGTGTCTAACACCAGACTGGTAACACTAACCCTCTCTCTCTCCTCTCTCCAGGGTGTCTAACACCAGAACTGGTAACACTAACCCTCTCTCTCCTCTCTCCAGGGTGTCTAACACCAGACTGGTAACACTAACCCTCTCTCTCTCCTCTCTCCAGGGTGTCTAACACCAGACTGGTAACACTAACCCTCTCTCTCCTCTCTCCAGGGGTGTCTAACACCAGACTGGTAACACTAACCCTCTCTCTCTCCTCTCTCCAGGGTGTCTAACACCAGACTGGTAACACTAACCCTCTCTCTCTCCTCTCTCCAGGGTGTCTAACACCAGACTGGTAACACTAACCCTCTCTCTCCTCTCTCCAGGGTGTCTAACACCAGACTGGTAACACTAACCCTCTCTCTCCTCTCTCCAGGGTGTCTAACACCAGACTGGTAACACTAACCCTCTCTCTCTCCTCTCTCCAGGGTGTCTAACACCAGACTGGTAACACTAACCCTCTCTCTCTCCTCTCTCCAGGGTGTCTAACACCAGACTGGTAACACTAACCCTCTCTCTCTCCTCTCTCCAGGGTGTCTAACACCAGACTGGTAACACTAACCCTCTCTCTCTCCTCTCTCCAGGGTGTCTAACACCAGACTGGTAACACTAACCCTCTCTCTCTCCTCTCTCCAGGGTGTCTAACACCAGACTGGTAACACTAACCCTCTCTCTCTCCTCTCTCCAGGGTGTCTAACACCAGACTGGTAACACTAACCCTCTCTCTCTCCTCTCTCCAGGGTGTCTAACACCAGACTGGTAACACTAACCCTCTCTCTCCTCTCTCCAGGGTGTCTAACACCAGACTGGTAACACTAACCCTCTCTCTCCTCTCTCCAGGGTGTCTAACACCAGACTGGTAACACTAACCCTCTCTCTCTCCTCTCTCCAGGGTGTCTAACACCAGACTGGTAACACTAACCCTCTCTCTCTCCTCTCTCCAGGGTGTCTAACACCAGACTGGTAACACTAACCCTCTCTCTCTCTCTCCTCTCTCCAGGGTGTCTAACACCAGACTGGTAACACTAACCCTCTCTCTCTCCTCTCTCCAGGGTGTCTAACACCAGACTGGTAACACTAACCCTCTCTCTCTCCTCTCTCCAGGGTGTCTAACACCAGACTGGTAACACTAACCCTCTCTCTCCTCTCTCCTCTCTCCAGGGTGTCTAACACCAGACTGGTAACACTAACCCTCTCTCTCTCCTCTCTCCAGGGTGTCTAACACCAGACTGGTAACACTAACCCTCTCTCTCTCCTCTCTCCAGGGTGTCTAACACCAGACTGGTAACACTAACCCTCTCTCTCCTCTCTCCTCTCTCCAGGGTGTCTAACACCAGACTGGTAACACTAACCCTCTCTCTCTCCTCTCTCCAGGGTGTCTAACACCAGACTGGTAACACTAACCCTCTCTCCTCTCTCCAGGGCGTCTAACACCAGACTGGTAACACTAACCCTCTCTCTCTCCTCTCTCCAGGGTGTCTAACACCAGACTGGTAACACTAACCCTCTCTCTCTCCTCTCTCCAGGGTGTCTAACACCAGACTGGTAACACTAACCCCCTCTCTCTCCTCTCTCCAGGGTGTCTAACACCAGACTGGTAACACTAACCCTCTCTCTCCTCTCTCCAGGGTGTCTAACACCAGACTGGTAACACTAACCCTCTCTCTCTCCTCTCTCCAGGGCGTCTAACACCAGACTGGTAGCAGCCGTTGGCAGCAGGAACGGGACAGAGGAGACTAAACTCATGGTGCTGGACTTTGACCTCACTGACAACCACAAGTGATGTCATCAGGAGAGGATGCGATGTCATTTGATAAGGATGTGAGGTAATCAAAGAGGGACCCAATATCTTCATACGGGAACTGAAAACTTGTGATGATGAGGAAAGGGGGTGAGGAGGAGGAATTATGACAGAGGACAACGTAAGAATCCCCCAATGGAAGGACTGAGCGCCATCTGGAGATATGACTCCAAAATGTCCCCCCTTCCTTATCCTCACCACAACCCTGGGTAACCAAACCCCCATCTTTTCTTTCTGCCCTAAAACACTGCTACGCTGATACTGACCAGTGAAGAGATGGTACACAAGATCAACTTTCTGTGACTGGAAGAAACCACGAGAGGACTCACTGGCCAACCGACTGACCCGTCTGGCTGGCCGACCAGCTAACCGACCGACCGACCAGCTAACCGACCGACCGGCCGACCGACAACCCAAAGGCCAAACTGAGTGTGGCTTCTGTAACTCCACCCAGACTACTGCAGGATGTATAGACTGGATACGAGGCAGATTACAGATCTAGAGAGACAAACACTGTTCCCAGATCTGTTCGGTCTTCAGCCAACCCCTCTGACCAGCATGATGGTCGGAAGTGACCACAGGTCTCAGACCAGATCTGTTCGGTCTTCAGCCAACCCCTCTGATCAGCATGATGGTCGGAAGTGACCACAGGTCTCAGACCAGATCTGTTCGGTCTTCAGCCAACCCCTCTGATCAGCATGATGGTCGGAAGTGACTAAAGGGACTGAGACCGTCTATTGGACTGGAGAGACACTGGACTCTATGGATGTGTCCCAAAGGGCACCCTATTCCCTATATAGTCCACTACTTTAGACCAGAGAATGGAACCCTATTCCCTATATAGTGCACTACTTTAGACCAGAGAATGGCACCCTATTCCCTATATAGTGCACTACTTTAGACCAGAGAATGGCACCCTATTCCCTATATAGTCCACTACTTTAGACCAGAGAATGGCACCCTATTCCCTATATAGTGCACTACTTTAGACCAGAGAATGGCACCCTATTCCCTATATAGTCCACTACTTTAGACCAGAGAATGGCACCCTATTCCCTATATAGTGCACTACTTTTGACATGACCAGTCAATGTACAAGTGTGTATTAGTGCACTAGTTTTGGCCAGAGACCTAGGGAATAGGGTGCCATTTCAGACTCCATTTCACCCTCTCCTGCCAGTCTGAAACATGCTGGATCCATATACAGGATGGAGGTGCAGAGTTTTCCCTTCATTGACCTACCCAGGAAAACCTCCTGCACCCACTGAATACTGGACATTGACTGAGATTAGACTTCACCTTGTCTCCCAGATGGTACCCTATTCCCTGTGTAGTGCACTACTTTAGACCAGAGCCCATAGGGGGACCTGTAAGACTGGTTGAAGGTAAGTGCGCTACATTAGGGAACGAGGGTTGCCATTTGGGACTCAGGAATAGCGTTTGTGATATAATGTAAAATATGAATGTACATATAAAGAAATGTACATAATGGTTTTTATATGAAAAGAGGAAATAATTGTGCAGAGATATTGTTGGGGGAAGGGAGAGATTGTTGAATAAAGATATGTTGACTTTTCTAAAATATGGATGTGGTGGATTTTTATTGGAGTAGGGTGAGGTTACCATAGACACTGCTCTTGGCTCAGTCACTAATGGTTAAGGATTGGATTAGGGGAGGGGAAGTTGATCCTGGATTAGGGGAGGGGAATCTGATCCTGGATTAGGGGAGGGGAATCAGATCCTGGATTAGGGGAGGGGAATCTGATCCTGGATTAGGGGAGGGGAAGCTGATCCTGGATTAGGGGAGGGGAATCTGATCCTGGATTAGGGGAGGGGAAGCTGATCCTGGATTAGGGGAGAGGAAGCTGATCCTGGATTAGGGGAGGGGAAGCTGATCCTGGATTAGGGGAGGGGAATCAGATCCTGGATTAGGGGAGGGGAATCTGATCCTGGATTAGGGGAGGGGAAGCTGATCCTGGATTAGGGGAGGGGAATCTGATCCTGGATTAGGGGAGGGGAAGCTGATCCTGGATTAGGGGAGAGGAAGCTGATCCTGGATTAGGGGAGGGGAAGCTGATCCTGGATTAGGGGAGGGGAAGCTGATCCTGGATTAGGGGAGGGGAATCTGATCCTGGATTAGGGGAGGGGAATCTGATCCTGGATTAGGGGAGGGGAATCTGATCCTGGATTAGGGGAGGGGAAGCTGGTCCTGGATTAGGGGAGGGGAAGCTGATCCTGGATTAGGGGAGGGGAAGCTGGTCCTGGATTAGGGGAGGGGAATCTGACCCTGGATTAGGGGAGGGGAAGCTGGTCCTGGATTAGGGGAGGGGAAGCTGGTCCTGGATTAGGGGAGGGGAATCTGATCCTGGATTAGGGGAGGGGAATCTGACCCTGGATTAGGGGAGGGGAAGCTGATCCTGGATTAGGGGAGGGGAAGCTGATCCTGGATTAGGGGAGGGGAAGCTGATCCTGGATTAGGGGAGGGGAATCTGATCCTGGATTAGGGGAGGGGAATCTGACCCTGGATTAGGGGAGGGGAAGCTGATCCTGGATTAGGGGAGGGGAAGCTGGTCCTGGATTAGGGGAGGGGAAGCTGATCCTGGATTAGGGGAGGGGAAGCTGATCCTGGATTAGGGGAGGGGAAGCTGGTCCTGGATTAGGGGAGGGGAAGCTGATCCTGGATTAGGGGAGGGGAAGCTGATCCTGGATTAGGGGAGGGGAAGCTGATCCTGGATTAGGGGAGGGGAAGCTGGTCCTGGATTAGGGGAGGGGAAGCTGAACCTGGATTAGGGGAGGGGAATCTGATCCTGGATTAGGGGAGGGGAAGCTGACCCTGGATTAGGGGAGGGGAAGCTGGTCCTGGATCAGAGGGGAAACTTTACTCTGGAACGGTTTAATTTGGTGAAATTAGTTTCTCTGTGTTGCTTGTTTAACTTTGAGCAGATTTGGACCAAACATCAGGACTGTTTTAAAATGGCTCTACCTCTTCTTGTTGCTGTGTGTGTGTGTGTGTGTGTGTGTGTGTGTGTGTGTGTGTGTGTGTGTGTGTGAGAGCCCCCAAAGGGCCCCCTTTTCACCACAACATATAGAATATGTTGCCATTTGGGACTGAAAGCCAAACGTCCAGAGAGAAGGCAGGGAGAGAGGACATGTCTCTGTCTATCAATCTCTCTCTCATGGTAAAGTTGAACTCTTTAGATGTGAGTTGTAACATTCATATACAGTATATAGAGAAGAGATACAGTATATACAGTGCCTTGCAAAAGTATCCATCCCCCTTGGCGTTTTTCCTATTTTGTTGCATTACAACCTGTAATTTAAATAGATTTTTATTTGGATTTCATGTAATGGACATACACAAAATAGTCCAAATTGGTGAAGTGAAATTAAAAAAATAACTTGTTTCAAAAACTTCTAAAAGATGAATAACGGAAAAGTGGTGCGTGCATATGTATTCACCCCCTTTGCTATGAAGCCCCTAAATAAGATCTGGTGCAACCAATTACCTTCAGAAGTCACATAATTAGTTAAAGTCCACCTGTGTGCAATCTAAGTGTCACATGATCTCAGTATATATACACCTGTTCCGAAAGGCCCCAGAGTCTGCAACACCATTAAGCAAGGGGCACCACCAAGCAAGCGGCACCTTGAAGACCAAGGAGCTCTCCAAACAGGTCAGGGACAAAATTGTGGAGAAGTACAGATCAGGGTTGGGTTATAAAAAAATATCCAAAACTTTGAACATCCCACGGAGCACCATTAAATCCATTATTAAAAAATGGAAAGAATATGGCTCCACAACAAACCTGCCAAGAGAGGGCCTCCCACCAAAACTCACAGACCAGGCAAGGAGGGCATTAATCAGAGAGGCAACAAAGAGACCAAAGATAACCCTGAAGGAGCTGCAAAGCTCCACTGCGGAGATTGGAGTATCTGTCCATAGGACCACTTTAGGCCGTATACGCCATAGAGCTGGGCTTTACGGAAGCGTGGCCAGAAAAAGCCATTACTTAAAGAAAAATAAAAAATAAGCAATTTTTTTTTATTTTTTTTTATTTCACCTTTATTTAACCAGGTAAGCCAGTTGAGAACAGGTTCTCATTTACAACTGCGACCTGGCCAAGACAAAGCAAAGTAGTGCAACAAAAACAACACAGAGTTACATATGGGGTAAAAAAACATAAAGTCAGAGATACAACAGAAAATATATATACAGTGTGTGCAAATGTAGCAAGTTATGGAGGTAAGGCAATAAATAGGCTATAGTGCAGAATAATTACAATAGTATTAACACTGGAATGCTAGATGTGCAAGAGATTATGTGCAAATAGAGATACTGGGGTGCAAAAGAGCAAATTAAATAACAATATAGGGATGAGGTAGTTGGGTGGGCTAATTTCAGATGGGCTGTGTACAGGTGCAGTGATCGGTAAGGTGCTCTGACAACTGATGCTTAAAGTTATTGAGGGAGATAAGAGTCTCCAGCTTCAGAGATTTTTGCAATTCGTTCCAGTCATTGGCAGCAGAGAACTGGAAGGAATGGCGGCCAAAGGAGGTGTTGGCTTTGGGAATGACCAGTGAGATATACCTGCTGGAGCGCAGACTACGGGTGGGTGCTGCTATGGTGACCAATGAGCTAAGATAAGGCGGGGATTTGCCTAGCAGTGATTTATAGATGGCCTGGAGCCAGTGGGTTTGACGACGAACATGTAGTGAGGACCAGCCAACAAGAGCGTACAGGTCACAGTGGTGGGTAGTGTATGGGGCTTTGGAGACAAAACGGATGGCACTGTGATAGACTACATCCAATTTGCTGAGTAGAGTGTTGGAGGCTATTTTATAAATGACATCGCCGAAGTCAAGGATCGGTAGGATAGTCAGTTTTACAAGGGCATGTTTGGCAGCATGAGTGAAGGAGGCTTTGTTGCGAAATAGGAAGCCGATTCTAGATTTAACTTTGGATTGGAGATTCTTTATGTGAGTCTGGAAGTTGAGTTTACAGTCTAACCAGACACCTAGATATTTGTAGTTGTCCACATACTCTAGGTCAGACCCGTCGAGAGTGGTGATTCTAGTCGGGTGGGCGGGTGCTAGCAGCGTTCGATTGAAAAGCATGCATTTAGTTTTACTAGTGTTTAAGAGCAGTTGAAGGCTACTGAAGGATTGTTGTATGGCATTGAAGCTCGTTTGGAGGTTTGTTAACACAGTGTCCAATGAAGGGCCAGATGTATACAAAATGGTGTCGTCTGCGTAGAGGTGGATCTGAGAGTCACCAGCAGCAAGAGCGACATCATTGATATACACGGAGAAAAGTGTCGGCCCAAGAATTGAACCCTGTGGCACCCCCATAGAGACTGCCATAGGTCCAGACAACAGGCCCTCCTATTTGACACACTGAACTCTATCTGAGAAGTAGTTGGTGAACCAGGCGAGGGAGTCATTTGAGAAACCAAGGCTATTTA